GGTTTCCTCTGGGTACTCTGGTTTCCTCCCACACTCCAAAGACATGCTGGTAGGTTAATTGGATCCTGTCTAAATTGGCCCTAGTATGTGTATGTATGAATGTGAGTTAGGGACCTTAGATTGTTCACCCCTTGAGGGTTAGGGACTGATGTGAATGTACAACATATATGTAAAGCACTGCGTAAATTGACAGCGCTATATAAGTACCTGTAATAAATAAATAATAGCAAGGGTATGCTATCACACTGCTGTACCTACGGAAAACACGGGGAAAAGGTTACTGCACCTTTTCCAGAATCGCAGCCGTGACGGTCATAGTGCTAGGTGGTTTCCAGTGTATATAGGTGTCATTAAGTGTGAGCCTAGCCTAAAGCTGGCCATACATTATACAATTTTCTGGTTCAGTTTCCTTTAGATTTACCTTCAACTATGTAGTGCTGGGGCTTGCCTGATTGTGTACAAGTTGAAAGTGTTTAGGTTTGACCTCATATTACATGGTTTCGGCCACCGACTTTATTCACATGCATTTACAAGCCTTTTATTGGTCAAGTTGCCAGACAGAAGCCTTTACTGCACTGATGCCACAAAAAAAGCCCAGTGAGGCGTGTCAAGGTGTTGGCAGGCATATTGTGACTGGGCTTTTCTATGGCATCGATGCAGTAAAGGCTTCTTTCTGGCAACTCGATCATGCAGTTCATTTTGGTTCAGGTATCATCGTATTGTGCTTCTTCAAAACAATCACACCGTCTTTTTTCCACAGCAGCTTGTATTTCTCCTGGGGTTACCTGTGGGTTTTTCAGGTGTATCCTAAAAAATTCTTCTGGTAGTTGTGGCTGCAATCTTTCTTGATCTATCTGTACTTGTCTTGGTATCGAGAGATCTCCAAATTTCTACTTCTTAATAAATGATTGAACAGTACTGATTGGGATATTCAAGACTTTGGACATCTTTGTATATCCTTTTCCATCTTTATAAAGTTGCATTACCTTGTTATACAGGTCTTTTGACAGTTCTTTTCTGATCTCCATGGCTCCGTATCTAGCCTGCTCAGTGCATTCATGTGAGAGCCAACAATCTCATTGATTATATATACACAAACACTAATTGCTGTTTAAAAAGTCACAGATGTGGGAAAGTAACCTTTAACCGCTGCACCCAAATGAAATTTACGTACCTTTTTTTCCTCACAAATTCAGCTTTCTTTCGGTGGTATTTGATTGCCTGTGCATTTTTTTTTTTTTTGCGCTATTAGCAAAAAAAGACTGACAAATTTGAGAAAAAAAAAACAATATTTTGGACTTTTTGCTAATAAATATGTCCAGTAAAAAAATTGAAACAATCAAATTTCGTCATAAATTTTGATCCAAAATGTATTCTGCTACATGTCTTTGCTAAAAAAAAATCCCAATACGTGTAAATTAATTAGTTTACATGAAAAGTTATAGCGTTTACAAATGGCGGTATAGATAATAGGATTTAATTTTTTTTTTCTACTAGTAATGGCGGCGATCAACGACTTTTAGATGGACTGCGGCGGACATTCTGACACTGTGGGGGGGAACTAACTTGGTGTCACTGACATCCCCAGTGACACCAATACAGTGATCAGTGCTAAAAAAAAAAAAAGCACTGACACTCTACTAATGGCACTGGGCAGGAAGGGGTTAATGTGAGGGGCGATCAAAGGGTTAACTATGTGCTGGGAGTGTTTTACTAGGGGGGCGGGGGTATGTGGTTCACTGTAAGCACACTGATTGGGATGGCTTTGCAATGTGCTCAAGCTGACAGGGAGGAAGACTGTTTGTAAACAAAACAGTCTTCCTCCCCGTTGGTGATTGACGGTAATAACCAGGCGCCTGCGGGCAATTACTGTCCGGGACCCGCTGATTGACATTTGTGACCACAAATGGCGCCGCGGGTAGGACGCGCAGACATGCCCGGACATGCAAAATCATGTATATATACGTGATTTTGCACACAGGTGCTGCCCTGTAGCAGTATATCTGCTATAGGGCGGTCCTTAAGCGGTTAACTGGCATTTTAACCCATGTGTCACCTTGTATGTGTGTACCAAGGCCAAACATTCCAGGGTATGTAAACTTTTGATCATTGCCATTTGGGTGATTTCTGTTATCATTATGATTTAAAAAGGAAGCAAACAACTGTATGATCATAAATGGCTTAATATGATCACCATTGTTAAATAAAAGACAATTCTTTGGCATTATCAGTCATACTTTCAATAACAATGCCAAAATCTCACGAGTTTCTGCCACGGTGTGCAAATTTGCAAAGTGCAGTTGCTCCAGAGCTTAGTAAATGAGCAGAAGCTCTGCTGACTTCCATCATCCAATCATGTGCAAGCAAAAATGCTGTTTTTTTAAATTTCCCTTGCATGTGATTGGGCATTCTTGGCAAAGGGAAGCTTTACCTCATTTATTAAACTCTGGAGCAACTGCACTTGCAGAATACAATTGCACTTTGCAAATTGCACAGTCTAATTGCCTTTAGTAAATCAACCCCTATGTGTTCTGGAACACATCAAATTTGCATCAATGTGAACCAGGGATCAATGGAAACAGCAGCAAAAATGCATAGGTGTTGAAATGCAATGGGATTTCAGTGCGAGATACACAAAATTAGACAGAATGGAAATCACAACTGTGTAAAATTGCATCAAAATCGCACCACAACTGCTCCTACAATTTCACTTAAAAACATTCGAAATCACACAGCATCAGTGTGAACCAGGGATCAAGGATTTCGTTACCTGGGCAAGGTGTGTACAGTGGTTCTATAGAAGGAGAGGCATTAAAATGTGCATAGAATGCGGAAATGAATATAGCGTGTGTTTACAGGCTCTCCCATTAAAATCTGTGGGACCAAAAATGCCTGAATTTAAAAGAAAAAAAAAAAAGCTCATGTACTTTTTTGTGTATAGGGTGTAGAGTAGACTGAGCATAGGGCATCTGGGCACATAAGTGTGAACAGGGACAATTAGAATTGGATTCTGTGTAGTCAGGCATAGGCGAAACAAGCAGAAAAACTTGTGAAAAAAGTGTGAATGGGGACTAAAAGAGACCCTGCTCCTGGGTATAGTTCCAGTATGTTGTACAGTTTTTTTTAAATGCTTATTTACATAGTGCATCATATTTACATGGTCAACCAAGAGAAAAAAAGAAACAGAATAAATGAATAGAATATACACAGAATCATATATCAGCCCTTTTCAAGCAGGGTGCCCAGGCTTCTTGGGTGCCTTGAAGTTTCTTCAGGGGTGCCTTGGCAAAATGCCTAAAAATTGGCCAACATTTTATACAAGCCAGCAGGTGGATCACGCCTGCCTGTTCGTTACACAAAGCCACAAGTTTTAATTGTGCACTATTACAACCTTCTAGCTGCCGGCATCATACCAACCAACAATGTCATCAGTTGATATGGAGGATGTCCTGCCCCTCTCTGAGTTATGGGGTCGAATTAGCTGAGTGATAGAGAGAAACTGAGGGAGAAGAGAAACATTGGAATACTAGTCAGTACCAGTGTGGAAAGGTGTGTTTGCTTTGGAAGAATAAATTACCTCTAACATTGGGTGTCCTACATGTGTGGGTGTTGCTGCGTTATGTTAAACCATTAAAATATAAGATCCCTGAGAAAGTCACCATGGGACTCGTGACTCAACGCGTTGAAAGGAAGCGTAGTGATGTCATCCGGTTTTGCACAGCAGAGGCCATCTTGGTACACCCTTTTGTTGTATATGCTTGAGAGGGTCTGCAGACCCGATTTTTAAATGTGAGTACCTCTCTGTCACTGTTTTATCTGAATAAATGTGGGTATTCTACACCATGGGAAGCCCTTTGTTGTTTATCTTTTAAGTATTGAACCAACTGGATAGAAATCCCAAAAGGAATCTTGGAAGAGGTTATACTGGAGAGATCCATTTGCAGATTGACTGACCAAAAGCACGAGACCTATTTAACCCATAGGTCTAACCCTAAGGTGAGCATGCACGCTAGCTGGTGGAGGAGGACATTAGTTTCATCCTGGAACATCACTGGTGGACGGATTGGTATTTGGAGAAATTGGTTTCACCAAGAGATTATTTTGCATTCATGTTATGTTTAATTTATATTTATGGTGCACCTGAATTGTGTTGCACTTAGCCTGGTGTTTATTTATATATTACTATTGTATTTACTCACAGTTTTTTTTTTTGCATTTGATTATTTATCACTCTTTTGCTTGTTAAAACAGCGCTCAGCCGGGTGTTTATTATTTTTATTTACATTATATGTATGGGTGGATAGTAGATCTCTAGGTAAACTTATTATGATTAGATTTTTTTGGTAAACAGTGGGGTTTTATTGTTCTTTAATTATAATTTATATATTGGTTAGACACTCAGCTGGGTGTTCACATATACATATATATATAAATATATATATTTATATTGTAAGTGTGGTTCACTGACATTTATCCTTATTCATCTGTTCATTTTGTACTATTGTGGTTTACACTGTCGTTAGCATATGACACCCAGCCGGGTGTTTACTATTTATTTTTGATTATATATTCTTTGATTGTTATTTATGAAGGCACATCTTTTTATGTTATGAGGTTATTATTTGGGAGGTAATCTTATTTCTTTCTTATTGGTTTTACACGTACTTAGCCGGGTGTTCATTACATGTTTGATGAGTTATTGAGTAGTGCAAGCATTCATTTTTTGATTGATTTATTTTGTATTCTGGGAACACAATTAGGTGCTTGCAGCCAGTCGTTGAATTTTGGGTTAGGTTGTGGCAGTGCATGAGGATATATTGTATTGGTAAACTATTAGAATAGTTTTTTTTACATTTTAGAATGGGGGGCCTTGAGACTGTCCATAATTATAAAGGGTGCCTCAAGATTGTTCATAGCTTTAGCTGCAGATGTTGTGCTTTCTGCTTTTCACCTATTCTATCATCATTTTAGAAAGCCGACAGCATTGTGAATAAAGAAGAATGGGAAGTGATGTGAAGGAAAGCCTAAAGCTCTACAGGAATTACATTATGAATATAATTCGACCCTCCTATGTCCTGCAATTCATTGGAACCTGGATGCCGGAAAGTGAGTCTCTTTATGGTTTTTATAGTATATTGAGTTGCATCTATGCAAATTTTAAAGTGACTCTGTTACTTAAAAAAAATAAAATAATGTGCTAGCGGGTATAAAGTTCAGGAAATTAGTGGTGCCGTCTCATGCTTGTAGCAGTTCTCATTCTCCTCTGATATGGCTAAATGCCAGGCACTCTACATAGGTAATGTTTAACAACTTGTTGGTAGTGACAGAGCTTGTCCCCTCACGTCGTTCACAGATTCCTATTGGCCAAGAATTGTGGCAAATTATAATAATGGACCAAGAGTATTGTGGAGAACGAAGAAGTAGGGTAGCCTGAACACTATCCAGAAGCTTTGTGAAAAGACACTTTAACAAGTATTCAAGTGGCGCATAATCAATATTCCGTGCACAAAAACAATAAAATATATAAAAGTGAATAAAAATATTCCACTATACAAAAAAAAATTGAAAATAACTGTGTATAGTCCGAAAAAAGTCCAAATAATATCAGTTAGTTTATCAAAAAGAAGATCACCACGTGAAAGAATCTTGTGCAAAACAGGTGAAAAAAAATATATATATGTGTGGAGTGCCCCCCTCTCAGGTGTATACTCAACAGCAAATATTGCCTCCCACTCTCATGGTTGGCAAACTAGGCTTAACAGACGATCTTCAAGAGATAAATCAGAACAATGTGGTATTTCAATCTTTTTCTCTTTTGGAAAAAACTAAATCCTAAGACAGGTACTCTTGATCTCCAGTCTTCAAACTTTGGAAATAAAGATCAGGGACTCATTTCTCCTCCTAGTACTCCATACTCAAATAGCCAGGCAAGAGAAAAAAATTAGAAAGCCCCAATGGTGCAGTACAAACTAAAAGTCCCTTTATTGCCACAATAGACTGTCACTTACAAGATATAAATGAATAAAAAGCCCAAAGATGTTAGCTTAGATATACCTAAAGTGAAGAAAGGCGAGCCAGTGCTCTCACCACCGTCGGCCCTCGATTGCTGACGTGCCCGCGTGACTTCCGGTTCCGGTCAGCGTCACTTTCAGTCACTGCACAGCCATGCCCTGAAGCGTTTCGTCATATCTGACTTAATGATTAAGTTGGATATGACGAAACGCGTCGGCGATCCCACCAGCTATCTCGAGATCGCACGCGACTTCCTTTCCTCACCTCTGGGGGTGCTCCGCACTTCTTGCGAGACTTGTCTCTTCGTACAGGGAAGAAAGGGGCGACTCTCGTGAGCTTTCCTCGGATGTGGATGCAGTTTGGGCCGGAGCTCTGCGGGTCTGTCGGTGAAAGCGGGGAGAGAGGAGGAGCAGAGAGTAGGCAGGGACGTACAGTGCAGGCACAGGTGGTGTGTCGCTGTTCTGTCGGATTTCGCATGTTCACTGATCACTGTGGGTTTATGTGACTGAAGACCGTCTGTGCTGCTGAAATGTGAGGCTGACATAGACGGGCGGATAACTCAGCTCAGAGGGCGAGACGAGCAACCTGAGATTGGTTACCTAACTGCTTTCTGGAGTCGGACCTGAACTACATTTGATTATGTAAATGCAAGGCCAGGACATCGCAGTCTCTGCAATCCAAAAAGGAGGGATTGCTGTTGAATTCAAAGTCTCCCCTGGAATTAGCTGCAGTATCCGACAGGACCCAGAGGAGGGAGTTTCCACTTCAGGCTGTAAACACCCATCCATCTTTTAAAGGGGACCTCTGGCAGGAATAGATCCTTGTACATCCAGGAAACATCTGCAGGGCTGCACACCATCCAGAGGAAGGAGAATCCGTACTCGGCTTACCTCATCCATTCCATATTAAAGGGGACCTCTGGCTATACATATTACATGAGTATTTAAAATACGCATCTGGTGAGTGCGTATTTTTACCACACCTTTTGGCACATCACTGAATACTGGAGTAATCAACAGTTTTGATTGGCACCTTAGCACGAACTGTCACTTTTATGAAAATGTAATATTACAATATTATTCTTATTTTATGATTCACATATCAGCATCTTTAATATCGGACAATATTTTATTTATTATAGCTTTTAGCACTGCACCTTTTAGTTCCTATATATGTTGAGGTTTTATCTGGTTACCTTAGTGTGCAATAGCGGCTACTTTTAAGTGCTTGCTGATCTTATACTCATTTTACAGTTATTATTTGCTTAATAACTATTTATCACCTTTTTATATATTCAGCGCAGTTATTGGTAGTATACCTTTATCACTTTCATATCCAGAAGCTTTGCCCCTTTAAAACAGCCAGAATTTGATCATAGCAGGCAGCACAGGGGTTAGACCATCTACCACTGGCTCCCGGGCTCAAATCCCATCAAGGACACTTATCTGTATGCAGTTTGCATGTTCTCCCTGTATTTGTATGGATTTTCTTCAGGTGCTCCAGTTTTCTCCTATACCCCAAAGACATGCTGGTAGGTTAATTGACACATGTATATGTATGCATGTGGAGGTAGGGACTGTAGATTGTAAGCTTTTGAGGGGACTGATGTTAATGTGAAGTGCTGTGCAATTTGTCAGCACTATATAAATACCTGTAAAGCTGAGTATACACAAATGAGGTAGATAGAGGAAACAGGACATTGTATTCAAACAGTGGGATATGCAGCTGTCAGAATACACTGATCCCCAGCTTCAATCGCTGATCAACAAAAGTTTTCTAGCATGTCAAACAATCATCTTCTGTCAAGCAGGGTCAACCACACACTGAATTCGTTCAGACCCTGCTGAAGCAGCCAAACTTCATTTAGCATATGGCCTGCTCAATAGTAAATATATCAGAGGGAAATGATAGCTAATCAGAGCTTCCAGATGTTTTTGAAATCCAATGGGTTTGTTCAGTGAAACACTACAACAGGTTACAGTAATGTGTAAAACTGCAGTCCACAGCAATCAATGCAACTTCTATCTACAGATACCAATACAAAAATCCATTTTAAAATGTATCTAAAGCCAACATTTTTTTTTTTTTAATTGAGGGGTGAGAACTCATGTTGGGTTTATATTATTGTCTGTGTTCCCACTAGGAAGATTCACCTGCTATATTTTAAAGCTGGCTTTAGATGGAATTAAATTTTAGTGGTTCAGTATGAACTGGACAAATTTTGATCCATCTATGAGCAGGCTGGTTGTACTGAAGTCAATCTATCTTACAACCAGACTGTGGGCTTTTGTTCATAGGAATACTGCCACGGGCTATAGCCAGCAGCAGTTTTCACTGTATTCTGACATAGGAGAAACCACCCACTGTCAGAATACAATAGCTCAGTGGGAGGGATTCCCCATCAACACTGAATGTGTTTCTGGGGGAATCAAGCAACTTTCTTTCCTTCAACCCATGGAGACTCTTATAGGGACCCTGATGTATGGGGGACAGTGATGGTCACTCTTACTAAACTTCTTTCTTTTTTTTCTGATTATATCATGCTGATTACAATAAAGATCCAAGTAAAATGTATTATTTTCAATTGTATTTTATTTGTTTTTTTCATTTAAATATTATTCATTCATTCTTAAACTGAATTTGACCCTTATACTGAAATGTTTGAAGACCCCTAGTCTAGATTATGGCTGTCAGATAACAAAGGTCTTAGATGTGTAATGTATCTTGTGCTTAAAATACTCTTATTTGTTTATTACACTGGTATAGTAGACAGTGTTCTGTACTGTTGGTCTTCATTAGTGTCATGTTTTGTGCTTTTTTTTTTTTTTATTTCCTGGAAGGTATAGAACAGATTAAGGCTGAGGAGGCAAAAGGACCAACTGCAGCTGCACAATTATTTATAGATAAACTGCTGGAATTGGATACTGAAGGATGGTATCAAGGACTTATAGATGGTCTATTTTCTGCAGGTTTGTTATATAACATTGTGATTGTATGCTTTATGTCAGGGTTGCTTTGTAGATCCAAGCTGGTAGGGTAGATACATCCATTGCAAAAGTATAAAATACTAAATATTTGTAGCTGTAACAATAACACTTCAGTGTATGTTAAAAAGGAGTTACCATTACCATTTGGAGAATAAAAGAAAAAGATGTTAAATAGTTCAGATATATGAAATTATCAGTTTGCATAGATGGAGGATTGTTGCTTAACCCCTTTACGATTGCCTAACGCACATGCATGGCGGCAAAAGAGTGGGCTTTAATGGTCACACTCCACACACATGCTGCGGGCAGCTGATGTTTCTGTGTCAGAGTGCTCTCACTGCATGCTCCCAGTTCAGAGAGCGGGCTATGAAAGACAGCTTTTGGTCCCTATCATTGAGCGCTAGTGGCAGGACCCCCCCCCCCCTCCCCCCCAGTCATGTGACCACTGTGACAGCCAGTAAGAATGGTCACATGATCGGCTGATCTTTCCCACCCCCTAGTGTTCAGAACTTTTTAAAGGGACACTGGGGTGGGTGGGAAGAGGTTAAGTACCAAAATATTCTTCTTAAAATTAATACAGCTTTTTTGAGTTGGTTTCAAAAATCAGATTTGCACTACTTTTGTTTTTAACACTTGCTTGTACCTATGTGACTTAATGCATGATCAGTATTTCACATTATTGCCAATAGCTGCATCTGAAGATCATAGTAAATACGTTTATTTCATTCTATCATCAGCTGCATCTTGTGGCGATAATGAGGTATTTTCCTGATTCACTATATAGTCTGTATTAAAAAAAAATTTAAGCTGGAGAGAAAATAGCCTAATTACATTTTGTTAACTCCTATTCGCACAAATGGAACAAACATACAGTTTCAGGAGGCAAATAGCTCTATGTAAGGGGTTGTGCATTTTTAATTTATGCATTAATTGCCATGGTCCAGTATGTAATTAGGTAGACAAAACGTTATCAAATGCCTTTTTATTCTTATTCTTTGGGATATAAAAGTATAGCAACATTTCATCTCACAATGTAGTAATATACAGTGAAGGAATAAGTATTTGATCCCCTGCTGATTTTGAATGTTTGCCCACTCACAAAGAAATGATCAGTCTTAAAATCGAATGGTATGTTCATTGTAACACTGAGAGACAGAATAGCAACAAAAAATTCAAAAGAAATGCATGTCTAACAAATGATGCACTGATTTGCATGTTCATGAGGGAAATAAGTATTTGATCCCCTATCATTCAGCAGGATTTCTGGCTACCAGGTGTCTTTCATACACGTAACAAGCTGAGATTAGAAATAGTCTCTTAAAGGGAGTGCTGCTAAACTCATTTTGTTATCTGTATAATCTAATAATATTAGTTTTTACCACATTTTCACAGAATGACAGTCCATATAGTTCAGCAGGATAAATAGCTCTGCAAGTAAGGGACTGTGTATTTTTCTTTGATTGCTCAGTTCTCTGTGCAATGCCAGGGGGAGGGGCAGAGGGTGTGGTGGGCGGATTGATGCTGCCTCCATTTAGGTGAGTATAAGGATTTTTTTTTTACCCCCATATTTCTCTTTTAAATAATATCTACACCCAAGGACAAAAATGTAATATATTGCATCTTACCAGCCCTTAGATGTGGTGGCTGCATTGGTTTTACTTTTTAGGTTAAGCACATTTTCTTCAAGTACAGAATACTGTTTACCTTTTGATTATGCTAGAATTCCAGTGCCCTTGTGACTTCCTGTGCTTTAGACTGATATCTCAACATGGTTATTAGCTTTTCCATCTTCTAAGTACAGAACACCACCTCCTTATGCAGTGGAGATGAGGGGAGGTGTTTGTAGTTCAGATCGGGAGAGCAGCCTAGTTGACAGCGCTGCTCATCAGTAAGTAAAGTACATCAAGTGAGCATTATCACTCTGAGAGCTTGTTCACAAGGGCAGCTGGGGGTAGTAAAAGCATTTGGTGGTCGGTAACACAATAGAGCTGCTCCTCAACCGCCCTGCAGCTACATGAAATGCATGCAGTTGTGGTATGATGGATCAGCATTTTGAAGGTTAAAACAAGCAGTGAGGGTGCAACATATTGTGCAACATATTGCCAACTCACTGCTTGTCAAATGTCCTCTGAAAAGCAATCCACCTTAGACCTCTTTTCAGAAGAGCTGCAATAATAGCCATCTGTGTGAATTAACCCATGGGCAGCGAGGGGACAATAAAAGCAGGTGGTAGATCGTTAATTTTATCGCCCTCTGACTGTCCACCTAAACACAGAAATACAGTTGCTCAGGGCTGTGCACATGCAGCAAAGCATTGCACGTGCGCAAAAAAAAAAAATAGCATGACACATTCAGTGCGGTGGTACCTCAGGTGGTGAAGAAGCAACATATCCCCTCCTCATCTCCTGTTAAACGCAGTCTGAAAAGTAATCTGTGGTGTTTCACTTTTCAGAGAGCACTGACAGGGGGTAAGGAGGTGGGGGGCTGTAGGGATAAGCTGAAAGGATCAATTTCTGTCTGTAGCCTGACCTGTCCTCACTTATCTCTACCACCAGATTAAGGAGAAATAAAGCTCCAGACACCAAAGTATAAAAGCAGTATTTCTAAAAGTTTAATACAAAGCAATAAATGATATACAGAACTCAACAGGCATTGCTTAATTCAGGATAACCAATGAAACATTATATTCTTATCAGTATAGATATGTGAGAAGCAGAAACATACAGAGAAATTAAAGCAATTCCTGAGAAACTAAACTAAAGCTCCAAATGGAGGCATTATACAAAATGTTTCCAATATGCATCCGGATTCTTTAAAAACTTGTCAAAAATGCACATGCAAAGTTTAGCAACAACATAGAACACAAATATTAATAAAAGACCAAAAAGACAAAAGAACAAAATCAGCATGCCTACTTTCTTAACCCATCCAAAAAAATCTCCAAAACTTCCCAACCCTTTAAAAGGGTTCCAGCCATCCTCAGCTCAGACATGCCGGCATGCCCTATACTGAACTTGGTACTACTTTTGAAAAATAGACTACTGGCCTCATGTGTCCTCCATAATCCTGAGCGAACACAGCCGCCATGGTTTTACAATTGTCACGAGCATACACATGAAAATCAACAATATAATTTGCTAAACCCAGAGCAGGAGAGGAAACTAGTGAGGACTTCAAGGTTTGGTAGACATTGGTGGAATCTTGGTCCCAATTAAAGAGCTCTGGAGCCTCAGTTTGAGTGTGCTGCCTGAATATGTTGACATAATGGGAGCAGTCAGGTATCCATTGGTGACAATAGTTACCCATACCAAGCAAGGAGAGCATTTACTTTTTAGTTTTCGCGGCAGACCCATAATGGCTTGGTTTCTTGACTGGCTCTCCATTCTGGTGCCTTGTGACAGAGTGAAACCCAAGTAATCCACCGTAGTTTGATAATATTGTACCTTGTGCCTTGCCACCCTGTGTCCCTCTGTACCCAGAAAATCTAACAGAAATATACTGTCCTGACTACAAGCCTCTCTGTTAAATGAACAAAGTAATAAGTCATCCACGTACTGGAGCAACGTGGAACCATGGCGGGGTGCCCAACGCTTTTAAGGATTCTTGGAGGGCCATGGAATATACAGCCGGAGGTAAACAAGGTAAAGTCTAAGACTTATTGCTCAGCTTACCTGATTGGCTGCACCTTTATCCCAACTTCTGACACCAAACTGATAGGATCATTTTTTGTCTGTCCTCACTTATCTCTACCATCAGATCCGGGAGAAATAAAACTCCATACACAAAAGTGTAAAAGAAGTATTTCTAAAAGTTTAATACAAAGCAAGAAATGATATACAGAACTCAACAGCTGTTGCTTAATTCAGTATAACCAATGATACATTATATTCTTATCAGTATAGATACGTGAGAAGATGAAACTGCAAAAGCAGAGGGGCCCAATATAAGGTGCATCCGTTTACAGAGAAATGAAAGCAATTCCTGAGAAACGTAACTAAAGCTGTTTCATCTCCAAATGGAGGCATTATACAAAATGGATGCCAGTTTAAAAATATATCTCCTTAAATAAGCCGCATGTGTAAACAAGCCCTGAGACAGGAAGTGTGTCATTGTCAGGATCACCAGTTCTAAATAGGTTGTGCATATGGGCCAACAATATCTGGCAGTAAACAGTGCCATGCAGAAGACAACACAGATTTGAAACAAGTAATTATTTATTACTAGCTTTTGTTGCTTGACTTGAGAGTTGTTTCAGCTATGATCCAATGTTTGTTACTTGTTCCACTTTTGTTAAGGTTTTCAATCTTTTTTTTTGTATCCATTAAAGAATATAGAGGACTATCTCAAGCACTTGCTGCTAAAGACTTCAGAGGCATTCAAAGTCTAGAAGAATATAAAGCACGCCTTAATGTTATCAGAACGACTGTAACATGCAACATTAAGCCTGGAGAAGTAGTTGATCACCTCAAGGACTGTCTCATAAACAGGGAGGTTGAGGAGATTTTGCAGGTACGCTTTGGCAACATAAAATATGGAATCAGCCAGGTTTGTATTGCTGTTTGACTCCTAGTTGGTAGTACTTCCTAATGGCTGGTATGTCACTGGGACAGAAAGATGAAGGAAATCTCCGCAAAGTGGACACAGGTAACAAGGAAAACCAGAGAAAGGTCCTTCGCCTCTACATTTAATTACACTATTAATTAATGTGCTTTTATTACTATCTGTGGCCCCATTGTAGAAATACTCCTCTCCTTTCTAAACTATGTATCCTAATGTGGGGGGCCAGTTACACAACATACTGTATATGACTGCTTATTTGAAGCTGAATTCCAGGTTTATACTTAATTGCATAGTTTTATTGGTCCAGATTGGCACAATGTAAGTATGCATATCTCATACCTTAGAGTCCGCTGTAGATACTGACCATTGCTGCAAGAGTTGGTGCTACTACAGTCATTGCCACAATCGTCGGGATAGGAGGGGCACTGACAGCATGATCTCCATTTTGTCCAATTAAAGAACACCTTGCACTCATTGAAAAAACGCTCACACAGAACACAGAAGGACCCAGATGACTACTACAGTGATTGTCAACTTCCCCAGCAGTCCCTCAAGTATGAGATATGTAAACTTACATTGTACCAAACTGTACCAAATTAAGTATGCAATACAGATCATACCAGGAGTTCAGATTTAACTCTGTTTTGTATGCTTTACACCATTTCAATTTATAAGTCGATTGGTTGCAAAGATTAACATATTATTTGTTCTGTTCTGCAATCAGGAAAAATAACACTATTAAAAGGGGACACTGCTGGAGCACAGAAACTTGTTGAATGCCTACTCCGATCCGATAAAATAGAATGGCCAAAGACGTTTACTCTAGTCATGGAACACTATGGTTACAAAGAAGTCCTGGAAGTTTGGAAGGGTGACACAGGTGATTTAAAAACAAGCTTTTACCAATTCCGAAAAAAATGTACAACACTCTACTACTTTGTAGCCCAATGACAAAGGTGAATAAAATAAATATAGGGATTGCCATTGCTGACTTCCTTCTGAAAATGCTAGTTGCTGACCTGGAACATATATGCAGATTAAATTAGTCAACATAAAATCCTAACCAGCATACTTTCTCTGTTTTGGGTTAGTGACTCAGTGTTGCAGCCTGGTATTGGAAAATGCAGTGAACGCAGCACAACCAATCAAAAATCATGTTTTACTTTTCTGTGTACGGTAAACTGAAATCTCATTAGCTGCTATGAATTACTGCACTCTATCACTAATTATAGTTAATGGGGAATTGAGGAATGAAGTTATATGGTTAACTCAACAACATATATTATGCAAAAGTATTAATAGGTAGTAATTCATTTATGTAGGGATCCCAGGAAACAAAAAAATACCAAGAGTGAAGTCCTAGGAGGGCTGAAGTTCAGTTATGGTTCCATAGTCCACTTATATGGTACTTTTCCAGTCACTTTAATTGGTCAACACAGTTCCAAACATCTTCTTCTCTCCTCTCCTCTCCTTGACTCGATGCCTACCATTAGAAATTCAACATATATCATGCTTTGTACTTTCAGAATGCCATAATGAGAAGAAAATACCCACTGATGACCCAATGGAATTAGGCAGTCCTTTCATGATGTTTCAGTTCACAGAAGAGCCTGTATTGGACAACCTATGTCTGTCAGGTAACTGGTTCAAAGTTATAAATAACAATAAATATATAAATGGATCACACAAAATATAACATACAAGGGATCACAGATTAATCTTAAACCACAAAATTATCTGTAATAAAAATATAGTGGTGACCCATAATAACCCAGAAACTAATTGTTCTGACACCTTGATAGAGGCACACTATTGATAGGAAGACTATGACTGGATAGACTTTGTAGGCACATATACATCAGACAATATTTCTTTGATAAAACCTTAATTATCTTTATTACAAAAAGTGGTACACATAAGAAGGGACAAAACAACATTGCATAAAAGTGATACTACATATATACCACAAATCGAGAAGACTTGTTGCACCCAATACATGAACAAATTGAAATCTTTAAGCTCCTCAACAACTATATACAGTTGTGACCAAAATTATTCAACCCCCACTGAAATTGAGTGTTTTGGCCAGTTTGACATTGCTTTTTGATCATTCAGTCATCTTGCTTACATTTACATTAAAGAGGCACTTGTAGGTCAGACAAATATAACATAACAGTTATAATGAAATAACCACAAATGTCTCTTTTCTGTGCTCACAGCATTATCAGTTTTATTCAACCCCCAAGTGACATTCAATCTTAGTACTTAGTACAGCATCCTTTTACAGTTATAACAGCTTTTAAACGTGAAGCATAGCTTGACACAAGTGTCTTGCAGCGATCACGGGTATCTTCTTCGCATTCTTCATGGGCAAAGGCCTCCAGTTTCAGTCACATTCTTAGGCTTGCGCACTGCAACTGCTTTCTTTAAGTCCCACCAGAGGTTCTCAATCGGATTTAAGTCTGGTGACTGCGATGGCCACTCCAAAATGTTCCAGCCTTTCCTCTGCAACCATGCTCTAGTGGACTTGGAGGTATGCTTGGGATCATTGTCCTGTTGAAAGGTCCAACGTCTCCCAAGCCTCAGGTGTGTGACGGACTGCATCACGTTTCCATCCAATATCTCCTGGTACTGAAGAGAATTCATGGTACCTTGCACACGCTGAAGCTTCCCTGTACCTGCAGAAGCAAAACAGCCCCAAAGCATGATTGACCCTCCACCATGCTTCACAGTAGGCAAGGTGTTCTTTTCATCATAGGCCTTGTTCTTCCTCCTCCAAACATAGCGTTGATCCATGGGCCCAAACAGTTCTAATTTTGTTTCATCAGTCCACAGAACACTATCCCACAACTTTTGTGGTTTGTCCACATGGCTTTTGGCATACTGCAGTCGACTCTTCTTATTCTTTGGAGACAGCAAGGGGGTACGCCTGGGAGTTCTGGCACGGAGGCCTTCATTACGCAGTGTGCGTCTTATTGTCTGGGCTGAAACTTCTGTACCCACATCTGACAAATCTTTTCTCAGTTCCTCAGCAGTCACACGGGGGACTTCTCTCCACTCTACGCTTCAGGTAGCGCACAGCAGTCGAAGTCAGCATCTTCTTTTCTGCCACGACCAGGTAGCGTTTCAACAGTGCCCTTTGCCTGAATTTGCGAATGATGCTTCCTAAGGTGTGTCTCTTGGTATGTTTAACATCTTTGCAATCTTCTTATAGCCATTGCCCTTCCTGTGAAGAGAAATCACCTCTTCTCTTGTCTTCCTGGACCATTCTCTTGCCTTCACCATGTTTGTAACCACACCAGTAAATGTCTAGAAGGAGCTGAGTATCACAGTCATTTTAAAGCTGCCTAATTGGTGCTTATTATGCTTGATTGCTGCTCGGTGACATCCACAGGTGTTTTCAATACCTGATGGAAAGCACCTGTATGAACCTCTGTTCTTCAGAGTGGTAGTCTTTAAGGGGTTGAATAATTGTGGCAATGAAGAAACCACATAAGAACCATTTACTACTGTATTACATAAACAATTGATGTCATTTTAGTTGCATTTGGGTAGTTACAACGTCCTTGTAGGATTTGATTCTGAATACAATTCCAAATGTACACTATAGTCCCTAAACCCCTTTACAGCATTGGGGGTTGAATAATTTTGGTCACAACTGTAGACTATTGGGTACCAAAAATGATCACCAATGGCTGGGATGACCTTGAACAGCTGTGTGAATATATATATATTCCAAGTGGGAACTAGTATGATTTCAGCTGGAATTGGCTGTACATGTTTTGTGATTAATACTGTATTGGACAACCAATTTCTGTCAGGTAACTGGTTCAAAGTTCCCTTAATTTCAGAGAAATTATAAAAATATAAATGGTTCACACAAAATATAGCATACAAGGGATCACAGATTAATCTTACACCACAAAATTATCTGTATTAAATATGTATCTAGAGTGGTGACCTATAACAACCAGAAACAAATTGTTCTGTCAATTTGATAGTCACGCTATTATTTTTTGTATACGTTGACATAATTATTGTGTATTTAATTCTGTACTTATACCTATTTATGACTTGCATTGGCCAGTGTCGTATTATTTGCTCCTTGCTTTATTCACCAGCTATACAGATAAGAAAAGATGGTGGCAGAGGCAGTTTAAAAAAAGATAATTTATGAGGCTACAGGAATTGTGTATTGGTCCTTTTTTCGGCTATCCATGTTCCGTTGTTCTCTGCAAGCTTTTGCTGCTTGCAGCTGTCTACCTTCAGCACAAATGAGAGGGAATCTCATTCCCAATCACAGTCACCCTTTCCATTTTGGGGGAAATGTTTCATGTTAGATTGTAGCATTTTGGCATGTTTTCAACATATGAATATAGCCTAACTACGTCAAAGGTCCATGATAATGGTGACACATTTACAACAAGCATCCCAACCTTAAAAAAATGTGGTGATAAGTTGCTTCACCCTGTTCTACTGACCGAGGAAAGACCTCTTTCCTATGCACTGAATAAGAAAACGAGATAATTCCACTCTGAAATTTGCTATTTAAATAATCTGCAATTCAGTAATAATATATAGCTGATCTTAGTGTCACTTCCAGATTTGGAAATACACACATTGACAGTGTATGCTGTTATGTTATTATTAATGTTGTTACATTAAAACTACAGTATACTTTGCTGTGATCTTTATAATGCCACAGGAATATTTAACCACTTGCCTACCGGGCACTTTTACCCCCTTCCTGCCAAGGCCAATTTTCAGCTTTCAGCACTGTTGCTCTTTGAATGACAATTGCGCGGTCATGCAACACTACCCATATATAATTTTTATCATTTTTTCACACCAGCTTTCTTTTGGCGGTGTATTTAATAACCACTGTGGTTTTTATTTTTTGCACTATAAACAAAAAAAGAGCAAAAAAAAAGTTGGGGAAAAAAAAAAGTTTTTCTTTCTTTCTATTATAAAATTTTGCAAACAGGTAATTTTTCTCCTTCACCAATGTACGTTGATGAGGCTGAACTGATAGGCAGCACTGATAGGCACTGATGAGGCGCCACTGGTGGACATTGATGAGGAGGCACTGATGATGCTGTACTGATATGCAGCAATGATGGGCACTGATAGGCAGCACTGACTGGCGGCACTGATGGGTGGCACTGATGGGCACTGATTGGCGGCACTGATGGGTGGAACTGCTGGTTACTGATAGGCAGCACTGATAATCAGGGCACTGATAATCAGAGCAGATCTGCTCTGTGACATTTGCTGGTTATCGGCAGTACTTTCCTTATGCTGTGACAGTGTGAGGAAAGTGCTGCCAATAATCGGCAACTGTATTTATTTTGTGAACAGCTGTGTCATTGGACACAGCTGATCATGTGGTAAAAGGCCTCTGTGAGTGGCCTTTTACCTAGTTATGTGATCAGCTGTGTCCTACAGACAGAGCGATCACTGACAGTGCTGGGTGTGTGCTGCTGGAGGCATGCAGGGGGCATGTTTTGGGAGCACGTCATATGACACCCTCCTAGAGGTGGACAACCACGCTGTAGCCATCTTTCGGATATAGCGCGATTGTAAAGTGGTTAAATATGGATGCCAGAGTGAAAGTATACCTATATCAAATATAGTTGTTCAAACCCTAATAATGAACTTTTTCCATTTTTCATTTTGGTTTGTTAAATATACCAACAATGTTTTGTTTTATTTGTTCAGTGAGGGAAAAAATACCTGTTAATCTGTAAATTCAGTGTAGTTTTTATCTTGGGACTACAGATCAAAAAGACAGTGGGCAGGGCTGACACCATTCAGTCAATAAATATGCTGTATTTTGTCAGCCTACAACAGGACTCAAGAGCTGGGTGAATTTTGGCCAGCTAAACAGGTATTTTTCTTGCAGGGTCTTTAAAGGAGTAAAATATGGGAAAATGTGCATGTATTGCAGAGATGTGCTGCACATATTTTTTAAATTGCTGTAAAATAATTTAACTGTTTACAGACATATGTCTTAAATGGTTTGGAGGTATTCATTTCTATTATTTGGTAAGCATTATAACTATTTGATGTGCTGTCTGTTCCATTTGTTGGAAATTACCTATTATTTTATATGTAAACATATATTTTTGTATGATACTATAGATGCAATAAAGGGCTTTTAATAATTGTCTTTGTTCTTCAAATTTTAAGCTCCAGAGCAAGATTATGAACCAGGGCAAGATTATGGGCACGCTGCAAAGCTTCCCAAAATGAGTGAGTATACATAGACACACTAATGTTTGAGATTTACACTGAAGGCTTCAGGTAGAGAACATGTTCCAATCTGTGTCAGACCTCTTTGGTTTTATAAGGGGACATTTTATGTGGGCACCTGTTCTTGGATTGTCACCTTTTGTAAGCAATTATATTAATTCATTATAACATATAAAGTAGGAAAACTTCTATAAGCCCACCAGTTTTCATTTGGTACATTTACTCCCACACCCCCTTCTTTTCCTTGTCTTGTCTGCTTTGTAAAAGTTGGCTTATCATGTTGGAGGCCCAAAATGGCAATTGGCTGGTGGCATGCATTACAACATGTTTGAAAGCCCTCCGGGAGTGAAGATGCTTTGTGATTTTTAAGCTACCTGTGAGGTAGCTTGTTGTGCCACAATCTGAGAAATCTTTAATTGCAGAGAAACCCTGTGTCACTGCTAGGAAGAATCCTAAACGGGCTTCCAGTTTTCATTTTGAATGCTCTGATAATTTTTTGAATGCCAATATTATTAATACATTATTCTGTTTGGTAGTACAATTGTAAATGTTTCATGGTATTAAATTGTATATTTTTGGCTTATGCTTTTTAGTTTCCACTCCTGCATCAGTAAAAACTTTGAAGCTAAGAAAGTATCAAGAAGAGTTGGCTCAGCCTGCATATTGGGGCAATAACACAATTATTTGTGCCCCGACAGGTCAGTTTGTTTAACTGAGCAATAAGCAAAATGTAATATTGACTTCATCTTAACACATTTTTGTAACACTGCAAAAATCATTTTAAAATGATTTCCAGCTTTATTCCTTATCATAACTATTTCTTAATCAGTCTTAATGCCAGTGCAGAATGTTTATATTCTTGTTTCAGTGCTTAATAACAAACATTTAATAAGTGGCTTTTGTCACATTCTCTACATTTAAAACCTACATTTGTTCAAGCCCAGTTGAACCCTCTTCATTTTTTCTTGCTGTTTACATTTGTTTTATTAATTCATTTAAATATGGATAATATTGATAATTAAAAGATGAAAATATTATACTAAAATGGTGGGTTAATGCGGTGTTAAAACCAAAATCAAAAATTTTATATATTGCAGCTTACCAATCGTTAGATGTGATGGCTGCATTTGTTTTCTTTTTAGGCTTTTTTCCCCCTTTATTTTAACTGGGAATCTGGCCAGTAACACACCTTCTGTATTAGAGTTCCCCCACACTGGATGAAGGAGCATAGGGGCACATTTGGACAGCAGAGTTTGTAATCTGGGAGGAGGAAAGTGTTAGATGTACTAGCAGGTTTAGCTACACTAACACATTAAAGCCAAACTCAAGCTTACACTGCAGCTACACAAGCAGTTACAGCAACTGTTTTTTTTTCTTTTGGGATAAAGGTTTTACATGAATAAATAAAATCTGATCACTGTAAGCACCCCTGTCAGTTTGTCTCAACACTCTAACATTCTAGCATTTGTAGAATAGCTTGTTCTGTTGAAAAACAACAAACTTACTGGCTGGATCAGCAGGTGAAAAGAAAAGAGAAAAAGCCTAAAATAGAAAATTAATACATCTTTATGCAAATGAAAGTTACAAGTAAAGGATGAAACAATCAAGACTAGACATGGAAGGGGGAAGTGGAGTTTTGAGATTGAGGATTGTCTCTAGGAACCATCATTACCAACTTGTGAGACTACACAAGTGTTTTAATAATCTCAATATCCTGGATAAGGGAGGCATAATTCTGGTCTCTGAGAGGTAACAATATCTCCCCTATTGAACGCTCTTGATTTTTTGATTTGGTAAGAAAAAAACTGTCCTGGCAGCACTAGAAAAATTGGACAGCAGCAGTCCAGCTATTTGAATTTATTCTTGCTCAGTGAGCAAGAATAAAAGTGACAAGAGCAGTATTCAGGGGGCGTGCCGGGGTGCAGGAGAGATCCAGCTTCCTATGTGTTGACAGCAAAGGGTTTTTTAACTCTTGCTGCAGCACTTAGCTGATAAAAGATGGTAAAAAAGGCGCATGTATTACTGTATACACAGCCAGACTGCACTACAGTAATTAAAAGGGTTCAGCTGGGCTTTAAAGCTAAAGTTGTTTCCATTTAGAATGTTGTAAAACTACTATAAGTAGTATATTAATTACTATAGCCATAACATGGTTGTCCGCATCAAAACTAGCATCATTAGTAATGTTTGCTGAGATTTGTGTAAATAAATTTAAAAAGATTTACCCATTATTAAAACGATGACTGACAATAACTTTAATAATCAATGATCTAAAGCCTATGTATGGCTTGTATTAGCCTTTCAGAGAATACTGTTATGTTTTTGCAATCCTTCCTGAACTTTTTTTGTTTTCTGCATCACCCAGATGCAGAAAACCAAAAAGGTTCAGGAAGGATTGTAAAAACATGACAGTATTCTCTGAAAGGCTAATACATGATATAGGCAGGGAATCTGTGTTTGATTTAATGTAATCTAAACTTTTTTATTAATACAGGATGTGGAAAAACATTTGTGGCATTATCAATTTGTGAGCACCATCTAAAATCTTTGCCTGCAGATCGAAAAGGAAAGGTTGTGTTTATGGCTACCAAAGTGCCAGTGTATGAGCAGCAGAAAAATATTTTTCTGCCAGTATTTTGAAGATACCGGGTATGTACTAAAAATGATATGATTGGTATAAGAAAGAACTTCCCCCCAAACTGTGTGGGTTAAGGCTGTGTTTTATTCCTCCTTAAGGTTTTTCATGGTCTTTTTAATGGCCTGTTGAACCACGCTCCCTACACCTGACATTTATGTGAAAGAGCACTCTCAGCTTTTAAAACAAACCTTTACAAAAAGAAAAAAAAAATCCCAAACCAGTACTTACCATTTACCGCTATTCCTTTTCACTGTCATGTGTAACAATTACAGTACTTCCAGGTATGGAGAAGACAGTGACAACATGACTCCCCGGAATACATGGTTGGGCCTGAATAGTTAGCCAGAAGGCTCCAGCACTGTCACAAGGAAGGGAGAGGGGAATTGGGTTGGTCAAGGCCACCTACTGTGCAATGTCCTGTGACCTTTAGTGGGGCAGTCTAAACTGTGAGAAAGCAGCTATAAAGTTAAGTGCATCTGAGGTGCTTAGGACACGGTTAAATAATTTTCACAGCTTTATTTTAAATGACAACTGTACCTTTAGTATAGTTTTTTAATCAATTCTTCCCATTCTCATCCTTAATGTTGCCCACCTGTACAAATACTTACCTTCCTCCTTGGTCCAGTGATCTTCATTGCATATCAGTTGTCTCTTAAGCTGGGATGCAGCATCAGTGGTTGAGGTCTGCTGTCTATGTAGTACTATGGAATGTCCACCATAGGGCAAGCAAGCTTATAACTGCCAAAACCTTTTTTCCCTTCAATTTTTGCACACATGTTAAAATGAACATTTTAGCCATGAAGATTACTTAAATTCCCCAATATATAACTTTCCAAAACCAGAGACCCTGTAGAACAAAATGGTGCCGTTTGCAATTTTTTATGTGACATATTAGGCACAGGTCCTGGCAGGCAGTCCAAGCATCCTTGGCAGCAGCACAGGGAATGCATTAATTTAGCTCATGGGTTTGGCTGTGGTCAAGGCTGGAAGTCGAATTTAAAATTTTTGCTTAGGGCATTTTGCCCTGGTAAATGGTGGATGCAAGACAGGAAGTGGTATGTACGCTATCTTGGTTTAGGGTACTGTTTACACTGGACTTCTGGTGGAACTTCTTGGACAAGGATAATTCTCAGGAAGGGTCTGTAAGTACACAGTTGTTGGTCAACTACATACTGTACTGTTGAACTAAGAGAGTAGTGCTGTCGGAGAGTGCTGTGGAGGGGGGGGTGTCCATTATGTAGGGTCTGCGGGACAGGGATTAATTTCTCCTGCCCCATTTGTGGTATAGCGATGCAGAAGGCTGTGGGAGGTCTGGTTACTAATGCTTACAAACTTTCATAGACTGGATCCATTTCATAAACTGATTCCTCACTTTCAGCCTTGAGTATTCCATGGCCATCTTCATCTCTGGTCATGGTTAAAGCATGCATTTAGTTAGCTGTAGGTGAGTAAGATACACCTGCCACCCTCATCTGTGCCTCAAAGTTGAGGATTTCCTTGCTGTTGCTTCCAAAATACCAGTAGATTTTGGGATCCATAAGCATTAAAATAACAAACAGTGTTTACTTAACTGCTCCATGCAATGGTTTTGCATAGAGTGGCCCCGAATCACTTCTTCATGGGTCCCTTGCCGGTGCTCTTGGCTCCTCCTCTTCACCGGGTGCTCTTGTAGCAAGCCACTTGCTCTAGGGGCACTTCTGTGGGCTGAATCCCGAGCCTGGCTTTGTGTGTCTATTGAGACACACAGCGCGACTCAGCCCTGTCCCCCACTCTCTGCTCACAGGGTTTGACTGACAGCAACAAGCAACAGGGGTCAATGGCTTCCACTGCTCTCAGCCAAGCCTGTGAGAGAGAGAAGAAGAGCTGCTGCAGATGGGACAGTGCTGGATGAAGATCGGGCTAAGATAGGTGTTTAAGGGGAGGGACTGGGAGAGCTACTACTTAATGCATTAGAAAAACAAAAAAAAACATTTTCCAAAACAAGTGACCAGTTCAGAAGTTTGTTTTGCAATTGTGCTTATCAGTTCACTACCCCATTGAGGAAGAATTTGTTAAAAAGTGGACATGGGTGGACCCCTTCATTTCTTGAAAAAATAAGGCCACAGTTATACCATTAAAGGCCACTGCAATGGAAGCCACCACAAGGTCTATGTATACAGTTGAGGGGTCCTTACTTCACTCCATTTGGCCTCAGCAAATGTTTCCCAGACCTGGACTGAGCGGGCAAAACTCTTTCACAAAGGTTTAACGGAGGGACAAAAGAAATTAAAATAGATGGCTGGGCTTTTGAGGCGATACATATTGACCATAAAAATTGTATGTATTTTATTTAGATAACAAAATGATAAAATGTTACACACTTATTAAAACTAAAACAAAACAGAAAAAATGTATAATGCAATGACCACCTTTACAAGTAAATGCTTTATTGTCCATCAGGGATAATTAAACTATACATAGCGGAGACAATGCCCATTATGTTCATGGTTAAATCTCTATAGACAGTTTTAAGTTGAGTTCAGCTGTGCATATCAATAAACCATCTATTGGAATTTAACCATGAACATACCTGGCGTTGTTCTTGCTATGTATAATTGAATTAGCTGCGACAGACGAAAAAACATTTACTTAAAAGAGGTCATTGCATTGTGTAATTTTTCTGCTTTGTTTTGGTTTTAACAAGTGTGTAACATTTTACTATTTTGTTCTTTTAAAAACTATATTGGAACTACACGTTTCTCAGGTTTGTATTTGGTGGAGCAAAAGCAGGATCCTAAATGGCTCTTGAATCAGGATGCTTGGTCTCTAGGCTTTCAGCTTCAGCTTTGCTCATCCACAAGTTGCTGTGACTAAAGTGTTGGTTATCTGACCTTTATGGATGGCCTTTATGGATCTGCCATTCACAGGGAACTGATTTTTCGAAGCAGTGCTGGATAAGAACTTCATAGGAGGAAAGTATACATTTTCCATCAGCTCAGGAAGGCCAAGAAGTCCTGTCACAAATCTGGGGATTTCTTATAAACTCTAAAGCAGGTTTTTCATTCTCAAGGAAATTCAGACAAGGGGACTGAGCCCTTTACCTCCAAACTGGGAGAGAAGCAGTAGGGGAAGAGCATTACCAGTTTGAGGCCTTGCCCTGCTCAGACTAGTTTTGGTCCCCTTGAGGTTAAGGCAGATAAAGTTCTTAGGGTACCTTGTTGACCTTCTATAGTATAGAGAGTTGTACTAGAAATTGAGGCTGTTTATTACCATTTAAACTCTGGAGGAATTCAGGTGGATTTAAAATGAGTAGAAGTCCTCGCTGATTTCATAACTTTGTCTGGAGTACCCGTGACTGACATTTGACACCAGTCAGGCCAAGATGTTGGAAAAACTACGGAAACTATAATTTCAGGTTCACCTACTGCGCATGCTCACAGGTGGTTGTCCATTCCTCAGTGCATGAGAGTTTTCGGTCTAATGGTTACAGCCTTTGAAGTGAAGGCTGTTTCCTTTTGTGAAAACAGTACACCAGGAAATTGCTGCTCGAGAGCAGGTCACAGTGGAACAGGCCTCCTCTGTCTCTCGGCAGGTAAGTTGTTGTCTTCTGCTTCAGAATGAGACGTATTTTCCCAATTTTGCTGGATATAGTAACAACAGTCACCAGCTTGCACCTCTAGGTTTAAGTACTTGGTCTCCAATTCACTCAAGGTTCTGGAGCTAGAAAGGAATCCCTGCTCCCCATCAATGTGCTTTTAGAAATAAGATGTGCTCTGCTTTGCTGGACTCCCATCTTGGAGGGACTCCCTGTTAGAAAATGCCTTGGTGGTGGGGAATATAAGTTATCTAAGTGGGAGGGCTAAAAGTGTGGATTTGTCTCATATTCTGAGCTGGGCAGACAGTCATGTACCAGCTGTGTCCCTAGTAAACATACTAGGCATGGAAAACTGGCAAGTGGACTGGTCTGGATAAGGTTGAGTGGGATAGCAGAGGGATGACGTAGGAATGGTGAGGTAGATGAAGAGAAATTTTGAAAAAGCAATATACAGTTGCAAGAAAAAGTATGTGAACCCCTTGGGATTACGTGGAGTTTTGCATGAATTGGGCATAAAATGTGCTCTGAACTTCATCTAAGTCACAACAATAGAAGAACACAGTCTGCTGAACATAATACTACATAAACATTAGATATTGCCATGGTTTAATTGCACATAACATGTAAACATTCACAGTGCAGGGAGGAAAAAGTATGTGAACCTTTGGACTTAATAACTGGTTGACCCTCCTTTGGGAGCAATAACCTCAACCAAACGTTTCCTGTAGTTGCAGATCAGACCTGCACAACGATCTGGAGTCATTTTGGACCACTCCTCTTCACAAAACTGTTTCAGTGTAGCAATATTCTTGGGATGTCTGGTGTGAATTGCTCTCTTAAGGTCATGCCACAGCATTTCAATCGGGTTGAGGTCAGGACTCTGACTGGGCCACTCCAGAAGGTGTATTCTGTGCTGTTGCAGCCATTGTTTTGTTGAATTACTTGTATGCTTTGGGTCATTGTCCTGTGGCATCACCCATCCTCTGCGGAGCTTCAGTTGGCGGACAGATGGTCGTACGTTTTCCTGCAAAATGTCTTGATAAACTCTGGAATTCATTTTCCCATCAATGACAACAATCCGTCCAGGCCCTGAGGCAGCAAAGCAGCCCCAAACCATGATGCTCCCTCCGCCATGTTTCACAGTGGGGATGAGGTTTTGATGTTGGTGTGCTGGGCCTTTTTTCTCCACACATAGTGTTGTGTGTTCTTCACAAACAACTCAATCTTGGTTTCATCTGTCCACAGTATATTTTGCCAGTAGTGCTGTGGAACATCCAGGTGCTCTTTTGCAAACTTCAAACGTGCTGCAATCTTCTTTTTGGACAGCAATGGCTTCCTTCGTGGTGTCCTCCCATGTACTCCATTCTTGTTTAATGTTTTCCTTATTGTAGATGTGTCAACAAAAATGTTAGCATGTGCCAGAGATTTCTGTAGGTCTTTAGCTGACACTCTGGGATTCTTCTTTACCTCATGCAGCATTCTGCGCTGTGCTCTTGCAGTCATTTTTACAGGACGACCGCGCCTAGGGAGAGTAGCAACAGTGCTAAACTTTCTCCATTTGTAGACAGTCTGTCTTACCGTGGACACATGAACATCAAGGCTTTTCGAGATACTTTTGTAACCCTTTCCAGCTTCATGCAAGTCAACAATTCTTAATGGTAGATCTTCTGAGAGCTCTTTTCTGCGAGGCATGGTTCACATCAGACAGTGCTTCTTGAAACCAGTAAACCCAAAACAGGTGTGTGTTTTTTAAGGGCAGGACAGCTGTCAGCAACACATCCAATATCATCACAGTGATTGGAGTCAAGGTTGGCTCACTCCTGGCTCCAATTAGCTCTGGGAGAAAGTCATTAAGCTAGGGCCTCACATACTTTTTCCTCCCTGCACTGTGAATGTTTACATGTTATGTGCAATTAAACCATGGCAACATCTAATGTTTGTGTAGTATTATGTTCAGCAGACTGTGTTTTTCTATTGTTGTGACTTTGATGACGTTCAGAGCACATTTTATGCCCAATTCATGCAAAACTCCACGTAATCCCAAGGGGTTCACATACTTTTTCTTGCAACTGTAAGTTACTTGGTAGAATAATTTTTTTTGCATAGTACATCTTATATTACATGTTTTTTTAAGCACTGCAAGGACCTGAAAAAAAGGTCTGCAAAGAAAGGTTTTCCTTAATTACTAATCAAAGATCTTTTATCTGACCTTACTAGTAACCAGAGGCGGACTGACAACTCATGAGGCCCCCGGGCAATAGGGGATCATGGGGCCCCTGTGTCCTCGCCTGCACTCAAACCACACCCAAAAAAGCATATGAAAGATACCAGGGGCATCTCATGGGGCCCCCTACTGACCCCTGGCCCTCGGGCAGTGCCCGAGTTCCCAAATGGTCAGTCCACCCCTGCTAGTAACCTGTATTTAAATGTGAACTACAGCTTGACCGTTAGTCCTAAATTAAAATTGCTTACTCGGATTTTACTTAACATTGTAAGCTTCTCAGAGTGTGCATCAGAAGCTACAGCAAATCAGATAGAGCCTACCTTATTTCTGGACTGAAGACATCCAGGATCTTCTAGCCCTTTCCTCTTCAGCCTTGTTGTCCCTAATACACCCATATTAGCCATTGGTTTTTACTTCTTTCATGAAGGCACACCCTTTGACTGGACAGTGTAAGGAGAAGCAGCAGACTAATAAGTTCATCTCCCGTCACTCTGCTATCTGCTTCTATCAGCATGCTCCCTGCACTGCTGCACAATTGATTGACTCCTTGTACTGCTTCACCTGCTTCCAGTCTGAGCTCTGCTATACAAAAACTGTAAGAGGATTATAACAAGTCATATTCAGTTACTTACACTGCTTGTAAGGACACTGCATTTCTGTCAAGATCAAGAGGTATGTTTTTAAACTTGCTGAAAATGTTTATGAAAAAAAAGAACACCACATCTAGGTGTACTGCAATATATTACATTTTTTGTTCTTGGGTTTATTCATCCATTAAGACCAGCTTTTCCTTCTGCTCTACGAAAGACAATTTGGTGAAAGATATATGGTGTATCAGTGCTACTCTAAAGCTGGGGGTCTTATTTCAGCATTAGCAGTAGAAGCTTTTGGATTTCAAGGTTATTGTTTTCTGGTAACTGAACTTCTGGCATTTTCTTCTCCAGATATTCAGTGATTGGGTTCTGTGGAGAGGAAGCTGATAATATTCCTGTGGGGATGATGATTGAACAGAGTGACATCATTGTTTTGACCCCTCAGATTCTTGTCAATTGTTTGAATACTGGATTACTGTCTTCCCTGTCCATCTTTACCTTAATGATTTTTGATGAGTGTCACAATACAATTGGACACCACCCCTACAATGTGTTAATGTTTAAGTACTTGGACCAAAAGCTGGACTCACCTGATCAAAAACTTCCTCAGGTAAGGCAAGTTATGAAAAGGCCATTTAAAATACATTCCAGATTGATTTATAAGAGTTTTTTAATTCGGTAGAAGAATGCTTTTAAAGTAAGCCTGTTCTTTGCCCATGCTCAACATGAAGATAAGTAGTTTTTGGCAGGAGTCAAGTGGATGGTTTGTGTGATATCTTTAGACAAAGTTGGTGGTGTAGCTTGGGGCAGAGTTATGGATGGCCTTGTACATTGTTAGTATTTTGAATTCTATTTGCTAAACAAACAGAAGCCAGTGGAAGGATTGGCAGAGAGAGGCGGCGGACATTGATACAGTTGGTTAGGTGGATAGGCAGTAGCATCCATTACAGACTCGAGGGTAATAGCCTGTGTAAAGATGGTGTTTTAAAATGTGCTCTGCCTTTGTGCATCACAACTCTACCAGTGCTGTGTCCTTCCACCAGGAGGTCTATATCAGCTTGTGTGTAACAGAAACCATCTAGCTTGGTACATCAGAAAAAAGGAATGTCAAAGATTAAACCATCAAACAATTACTTGGGTCACCCGAGCTCAAAAGAAACATAGGACCTACATAGTGCTCACTGTGTATTTTATTTAAAAACAAAAATCAATGCCAATAAAACACTCACTTGAGTAATTAGAATGAAGGTTGAAATATATATAGTTGCTGGGGATACACTTTTCCCACCTTAGGATCTTGTAATCCAATGCTCTGCAGAAAGCAGCAGCCGAGTCCTATGTCAGCTTCCTGATCAGGCTAAAGGCTCTGCTTTATGCGTTATGTCCTACCGGGACTTCTTCTGGAGTGGCTATTTTAAAACAACACTTTGACATAATATGCATTTCCCTATTATGAATGTATTATAATTTAATTAAGCACATTGATTGTTATTTAAGGAAGGCTTTTACAAAAACACGCCAGCATCAGTAGATCCTGTACCATATTTTTTGTAACCAATAAAGAGAGCACATTATGAAGCATTCGTGTAGCCAGCTGTATCTCTTTGACATTTTTATTTGTTTCACTTTGAAGATTTGCACAGTTTTATGTTTGTGTTTATATCTTATTATTTATTACTTTTATGCATATAGTGGGAGTCGATTGTTGTTATCACTATGTATTTATGTTATCATTTTGTCAAATATTAGGTGCAAGAAGTTGATGATAGAAGTTTTGTGGGGGGATTTATAATTGTATTTAATACTTAGCGTAGCACTTATTATGTTGTTCGTATAATTTACAGAAGCATGAATCGCTTTTTTGAATTTATAGGGTGTAGGGACATAGTTGTGCTGCCTGTATTTTTAGTATTTTTTTCTCATCAATCTATGTTGTTTTTTAAATGACTGGCAATGTCCTAGACAGTGAATGATTTAGTGGGTTGAAGCAGTGGGGAATGAAGTAGAGGGGTAATGGTAGAAAAAATTTGAGGTCGACTGGATGAGAGTGATGAAATAGGTCTGTATGGCAGCATGACCTATTTCATTGTAAAAACAGATTTAGACAATGCAAAGTCTTGCAGAGATCTATTTTTATACCACACTCATTCAAGATCACAGCTATGTCTTCTGACACTCCTGGTGTTGTCTGCTTGCCAAGGTTGTATTGGCCGGGGCAGGATTCTGTGTGACCCTGGTTGGTAGGGGTCCTATATTTTTGGCAAGAGGCTTTTGTCTCTCGGTGGTGGTGCACTGGGGTTGGCAAATTTGGAATAATACAGTTTATTACTGGACACATGCCTATTGGATTTTCATGAAATTTTTGCACTGAACAGATGCTTATTGGGTTTTTTCTCACATGATTGATTGTATATTTATTTTATTTGCATTATTCACAGTGATGTTTACTTGAGAACAAAAGTTGTTTGTCTTATGTTGAAAATTTAAAGGGGAAGCACAACACATTTTTTTCCATCAGATTTATTATCTTGTGTTCAGGTATAAGTGATCACTTTTTTTATGCACGGTTTGATTCCATTTCACTGAGCACGGAGTTTCAGAATATTTATTTTGGTACACACCAGGCACTGCACCACCTGGTAAACTGGTTATTATTCTAGTTCTGACCAATAAATAAATAAAAATACCCACAAAATTCCATTGTATTTTCTATAAGTCATACACATTTTTACCACCTGCTGTGAACCCTCAGGTAAATATGTTCACAGACTAGATAAACTAAATAATGTAATAAAATCTTCACAGCCTAACTTCAGACTTGCCTTCAGTTGTAGAGGTTCCTTTCCTGTACTGAAATGGTGTACTCTGATTTGAGTACACCATGTGAACAAAATCAGAAGCTTCAACAAGTTAGATGGAGCCCACCTTATATCCTGGCATCATCCTAGCCTTTTCTCCCCCAGCCTCATTGTCTCTGGCTCACCCCTTTCATTCATTGGATTTTATTTCCTTCAATCATGAAGGCTCAGCACCACATGTGGCTGTTTCCTAGGTGGTCAGGGCTGAGGACTCTTGAGAGGAGAACAGAAGCAGGGTTCTGTGAAGTTTTTGGGAACATATGTAATGGACCCTGCTAGCCTCCCTGAGCAGCCAGCACCTCGCGGACTCCAGGACAATAGAAGTTACTGGAAGACACCCTTTGGGAATTTCAGGAGGCCTTCTCGAGACATGATGAGGACTTTGGGTGTGCCTCCACCATCGAACACGAAATCCCCACCGGCAATGCTGCACTGATCAGGGAACGTTACCGACAAATCCCACCTAAAATGTACCAGGAGGTGAAGGATATGGTGGCCAACATGTTGGAAAACCAGGTGATCCAGGAGAGTCAAAGTCCTTGGGCTGCTCCAGTAGTCTTGGTGCGGAAGAAAGATGGGAGTCTCCGTTTCTGCATGGATTATCGGAAGCTGAATGCCCAGACCGTCTGGGATGCCTACCCCCTTCCGCGGATTGAGGAGTCGTCCGCCCTGAGTCATGCGAAGTTCATCTCAACTCTTGACCTGGCCAGTGGGTATAGGCAGGTTTACGATGGCCAAGAAGGACAAAGCGAAGACTGCTTTCATCCTACCTATGGGTCTCTACGAGTTCAACAGGATGCCATTCAGCCTGTCCAATGCCCCGGGAACATTCCAGCGGTTGATGGAGCACTGTCTGGAAGATCTCAACTTCGAGTCGGTATTTATATATCTGGACGACGTAGTAGTGTTTGGGGCCTCTTTTGAGGATCACCTCCAGAAACTGCAACAGGTCTTAGGACGGCTGCGAGACCATGGGCTCAAAATCAAGCCCAAGAAGTGCCAACTGATTCGACAACCAACCCCCGACAAGGTGGAGGCAGTCTAGAAGTGGCCCCAGCCGAGTACACTAAGAGAGGTGCGGGCGTTCATTGGACTGGCCGGCTACTACAGGAGGTTTATACCCAAGTTTGCTCGTCTGGTGGGCCCATTAAACGAGTTATTAAGGGGCACTGCAGGGAGCCCGAAGAATCGTCCCATCGAGTGGGGACCCTGTCAACAAGGGGCCTTTAAAGCAGTGAAGGGGGCGCTGATTAGTGCCCCGATTCTGACTTATGCGCGGTTCGACACCCCATTCCTATTGTACACTGACGCAAGTCTACATGGTCTGGGGGCTGTATTATCCCAAGTCCAGGATGGACGTGAGAGAGTCATTGCCTATGGCAGCCAGGCTCTGAGGGAGTCAGAGCACAACCCTGACAACTATAGCTCCTTTAAATTGGAACTACTGGCACTGGTGTGGGCCATGACCAAAAAGTTTGCGGAGTACTGACCGGTGCAGAGGTGACCGTGATGACTGACAACAACCCGTTAGCACATCTGGAAAATGCCAAACTCGTGCTCTTGAGCAGTAGGTGGCCATTTTGTTGGTTTTCTACACATGGTTTTCTATAGTGTTTGATAGAAAAAGCTTGGAACCATGTCTGGAGCTGATATTTTTGAATTTGAATGTAAGTGATGAATAAAAAAGTTATCCCTATGCTTTGAATACTAGTCCTGAGACCCTTCTTATCTTTCTGAGGACCTTGCAAAAACTTCTTTGAAGAGAATGTGGAGGAATATTGTTCCATAATATTGTTTGAGCATTTCAATACTCATAGAGGGTAATAGTATTTAGTACTACTGTGTGTTGATTGATGGTAGACACTGAATTGCAGTGACCACAGAGTGCTCACAGTTTGATTTGTGTGATTATATGCACTATAAGAAAATAATTTGGATTTGAATATATATATATATATATATATATTTTTTTTTCACAAAAGGTTTTTGAAGTGTATTTTGGTTGCATGGGGTGATTATTTCTATTATTATTATTATTAAGGTAATGCACTAGATATTATTTTTTTACTTCGAGGTGCGTTTTGGATGAAATAGGAGTCAATCCTTTTATTGGATGAAAAGAGTGGAAAATTTTGGGATCTTTGTGGACACTATTTTGGACTTTCTTTTTGGACATCTCTTTGATCAATTGGACTTTATTGTGCTTTATATGTTTAAATTCATTTATTTATTTTACTTAATTTATTTCTGTAATTTCACAAAAAGGTTTTATATGTATTAAGGGGCACTGCAGGGAGCCCGAAGAATCGTCCCATCGAGTGGGGACCCTTTCAACAAGGGGCCTTTAAAGCAGTGAAGGGGGCGCTGATTAGTGCCCCGATTCTGGCTTATGCGCTGTTCGACACCCCATTCCTATTGTACACTGACGCAAGTCTACATGGTCTGGGGGCTGTGTTATCCCAAGTCCAGGATGGACGTGAGAGAGTCATTGCCTATGGCAGCCAGGCTCTGAGGGAGTCAGAGCACAACCCTGACAACTATAGCTCCTTTAAATTGGAACTACTGGCACTGGTGTGGGCCATGACCAAAAAGTTTGTGGAGTACCTGACCGGTGCAGAGGTGACCGTGATGACTGACAACAACCCGTTAGCACATCTGGAAAATGCCAAACTCAGTGCTCTTGAGCAGTGGTGGTTGGCTCGCCTCTCTAAGTACCAATACCGCATCAAGTTCCGGTCAGGTAGGGAGAACGGCAATGCTGACGCACTCTCCCGAGTCCCTGTAGGGTTGTCGGCTCAGAGTGCCGATGAGGAGCTAGAGGACACAAACTCCTGACCTTGGTCGAGTACCCATGTTCCAGGACGTGGCACATTCAAGTGGGGTGGCGTCCGGGATGCCAATGGTGCTGGAAAAGACGTTGGCTGATTGGGAGAGGGCAGCTTGGGAGAGGGTCCAGGATAGCTGCCCGGACCTGTGGAAAGTGAAAGAATGGGTCCGTACCAAGATCTGGCCTCGGTCAGAAGAGCGGGCTCGTCTGACTTCCGAGGGCCAAGAGTTGTTAAGGCAGTGGGATAAGCTAACTATTACCCAGGCCTTCCTGTGTCGGACCATATACTTGCAGTCAGAGTTGCAGTACCGGCGACAGATTGTCAGCCCCATGGCATTGGGGCAGTACCGGCGACAGATTGTCAGCCCCATGGCATTGGGACCAGAGGCTGCCCGGGAAGCCCATGAGAGGGGTGCCCATTTTGGGAGCGATAAAATGTTCAAGCGGCTCCAACGGCTCGTGTACTGTCCAGATTTGGCAGACATGGTGGCCGAGGCATGCCTTAAGTGTCGGCCCTGCGGGCTGAGTAAGAGTACTGAACAGCGGGCTCCTGTCCAGGCCATCCGGACATCAGCACCCCTAGAGCTCCTTATGATCGATTATGTACAGATTGGGTACTTACCTCGGGACACTCGTACTGTCTAGTCATGACAGATCATTTCAGAAAGTATGCGGTGGCTGTACCCACCAGAGACCAGACGGCAGAGTCGGCCGCTGAAGTGGTCTGCAAACACTTTATACAGGTGTTCGGGTGTCCACAGAGAATACATTCGGACCAGGGGGCATGTTTTCAGGGTACTCTAATGAATGAGTTACCAACTGTATGGGATCGAACGTTCCCGCACCACCCCGTATCACCCCCAGGGAAATGGGGCGTGCGAGTGGTTTAACTGCACCTTGCTCCAGATGCTGCAGACTCTGGAGGACCGCCAAAAGGCTCGGTGGCCCGAATACCTACCTGAACTGATGTGGGCCTATAATAACAGGGTACACAGTACCACTGGATACTCCCCACATATGCTCAAGTTTGGGAGGGCTGGACGGGAGATTGAAGATCTCCACATGCCCGATCCAATGGGGCCACCACCAAGAAATACTACCGCATGGGTGCAAGAGCACTGCTGCCGGCTGAGAGCGATCCACAAGGTTGTGGGGGAGCGCCTTAGACAAGTGGTACGCCCCAATCCAAGACCAGTGCAGAAGAAAGGGTATGCCCCGGGTGATCGAGTGATAGTCAAAGCCAAGCGGCCATCTGGAAAGTTGGATTGGCGGTGGGAGGCGGTCCCATACACGGTGAAGAAGAGGGTAGACCCTGCCATCCCGGTCTGTGAGGTAGAGCCAATAGGGACTGGGGGGCCCTCACGAAACTTGCATCGTAACATGTTGAGGCGTTGTAATTTTGATGAACCAGTGTGCGTGGAGGGGATGGCTCCTCCTGCTCAGAGTACTGAGGAAATCCCCTAGAGGAGGGGGAGGAATGGTGGGTTGTCCCTGCCCTGGTACCCACAGAGGCTCCAACCTTAGCAAGTTTGCCACCAAGGGAAAGTGTTGAGCAGTCAGCAGCTCCTCTCCCATTAAATGTGCCTGACGTCCCCAGTGCTTCTGAGCCTGTCACTCTACGAAGGTCAACAAGGCCCAATGCTGGTGTGCCCCCACAGCGTTATGCCCAGAATAAGTTTGTATGGGGAGGGTTGCCGAGGACAACAACCTCTAGTGGGGTGGCATGTGAGATGGGGAAACAGCTTTTATTGTTTGAACACTGATTGAAGTAAATTAAAAACGTTCTGACTGACATTCTGCAGTTTAGCCACAATATGTCACTGTTTTTTCTAACACAGCCTAAGACTGCATAGAGATTTCAATATTCATGAAGGGGTGGGGTTTTACAATTGGAGAGTGAACAGGAAAAGGAGAGAAGAGCAGCCATGCTTGAGAGAGAGAAGGGGGGCTGTGTGATCTGAGAATCCGATGCCATCCAGATGTGAGGACAGCCCTCCGTGATCAGAAATTCAGTTGAGTGAAGCTGATGGTGTTCAAGACGCTAACTCTGTTCAAAGAAAGGAAGATTGCTGCCAGGAAGCTGATGGGAAGCTGATGAACTAAGCAATATATATACTGTGATATTGCATACTTAGTGGAGAGACATTTGTTCTGTTCAGAGTCACCAGCGGATACAAAGCAGACCCAGGTCGGTAAGATCGTGCACGCACCTCATTTCAGTGTTGGCGCCTATAGGACTGAGACAGGCCTATAGTTAGTTAGTTAGGGTCTCTGTTTGTGTCAGGCCACAAGTGTTGTTACTGATCATTGGAAGGACTGCACAACTTAAAGTGACATTTCACATCGGAGAGCTGATAAAATCCTACAAACTCAAGCCAGACTGGCGTTTTGCTCAGAAGGAATACTCAGGCACGTGCTACAGGACCAGTTATGGGAGGGGGAATACTGTAGATTTGTGTAAGATTGTAAGCTGTTGTGCTGCACTGCAGGCTAGCCCATACCATACACCCATACACTGATTCTTGTTCTTTTAGGGTAATAACAGGTAAGGTGTGGCAGCTTAGTTGTGCCCGCCAGTAGGTAAATTACTACACTTTCTACCTTCATCCATCAGAAGGGGCCGTGCTGTGCAGCACAGGGGTCTCAGCCTTTGGGCTGGGTGTATGTAAATTTATTGTATATTCCAGCATTTGTGGTTTTGTTTATTTGCCACATCTAAGTACAATTCTGTTGTGACAAAAGCTGGTGTTGGGGTTGCTTTCCTCGTTCGTGACTTCACTGTATCCTGGGGAGCCCACCCCGGTACACGGCTTACAGAGAAGCACAAAGGTGGTGATGTCACTGGATCTAAAAAAGATATGTAACAAAAACAGCTTTATTTTTCATTAGCACAAGCTGATGGGAAGGAAGAACCAGGGAGGCAAAATGTGAGTAGATTAAACTTAAATTTTAAGCAGCCGAGGATTTACAGTACTACCAAATGTTGACAATTTCAGTGTCTGTTGTTTTAAAAAGGGGACTAAAGCTAGTTCATCGGGGACCAGCCAAATGTCAAATCATGTGTAGCCACTGCGGTTGAACAGAAGTCGATCTACCGATCAACTTTTGTTCAGCTGCACTGTTGGATAAAAGCCACTTGATCATCGCCACAGGCAATAGGCTAGAGCGCTGATCTGTGTATTCTGACAGAAAGGGATTCTCTCTGCTGTCAGAATACAATGACACAGCAGGGAGAAATCCCCCATTCATGTCAAATATGTGGATGGAGGGATCAGGGACCCACTGGCTGAACGAAAAAAAAATCTGACCTGTGCATGGCCAGTTTAAGGTTGCTTGAAAAATACAATGGCTTTTTAAAAGCTGCAATGTTTCCTATTGTGTTAGCTGTAAAATAAGAATTAATTTTCAAAAAATATATACGGTACTCATGTTGACTTGTAACAATTTGTACTTTGCAAACAGATAGTTGGTTTAACAGCCTCTGTGGGAACTGGAAAGTCTCGCTGTGCTGCAGACGCTGTGCACTATATCGGTAAACTCTGTGCCAGTCTGGACATTGAATGCATCTCTACAGTTAAGGAAAATCTGGAAGAGCTGCAGAAAGTGGTGCACAAACCGGAGAAATGTAAGTACCTAACAGGAATATATTTTGGACACTTACAATACAAAAATACATCTGTATGTCTTCCAGATAACCTCATAGCTACTCATTTCTGTTCTATCATGACTTTTGTACAGCTATTCATGAAACAAGTTGTCGTACGAGTGATCCATTTGCTGAGATCATGTCTGAAATCATGGCGGAAATTGAGCAGATGGCTAAATCAGTTTACCCATATTTAGGTAGGTGTAATGTAAAATCTATGAGAATATAATTTTAGATGAATTATACTGTTATGAGTATACATATGCCAGGGACAAAAAGGTAAGGGTTAGAAAACTCTAATTTCTGTTCTTTGAGGGAAGAGTTAAGCTGTCATTTAAAGGAAACCTATACTTAAAGGAATATGCGGGCTGCCATTGTTGGCAGACTTGAAAATGTTGGCTTTGGCTTTGATACTTTTGGTGATACTAACCTGGAACAAGCATGCAAAAGCCGAAGTTAAAGAGTAACTCTACTTTTGTTCAAAAAAAAAAATCTTTCCCCTCTGGGTGATCCATGTACATTACAAGGCTTTTAACAAACTTTGTTGCGAACTTTGAGTACTTACTTTTGTTATGCAGAAGAAAAGGCTGTTTGTTTGTCCGTGTCCATGTGGAATGTGAATATAATGGGAGTGTTTTCATAATTATCAAACAGCTGCTGCACTTGCAGGGCCCTAATGAGGAAAATCGCAGGGTCAGCATCCCTTTAGACGTGATTTCCCATTGTTAGTATCTCACCAAAAATGACATTTTTGTGCAGGGAATTCCTGAAATCTGACTTTTATCTTAGTGCAGACTTCTAGGAAAATCAATGAGCCAATCACGCAAGCAGGAAATGATGTTGCTGGAGGCATTCTGTACACATTCTGTGTACAGAATACCTCCAAGTAGCCATATTGCATTGCATTTTACAGACAATTGTGGAGCTCCTAATTGAAAAGGAAAGGTAATTTTTAATGACATTCAATTACAATATGACTTGTGTCACAATTGTATATGCTATATATATTTATTTTTTTATTTGCTATTTTTTTCCAACAAAAGTGGAAAAACCCTTTAAGTCATATTCCCCAATCTGCATACATGTTGTAGGTCTGAGATACATATATTACTGAAGACATTAGATCAGCGTGACAGGAGAGGTTGATAAATGACCCATTCATATTTTCTAAGTACAGGTTTTCTTTATATAGAGCTATTTGCCCTTGCCATGGCTTATTTACATTTATTAGCATTTGTACATTTAATCTCTATGTAAATAATGGTTGTTATATAATCCTAGCTGAATCCATTTGCAGAGTAAAATACATCAGTTGCATTGCTGTTTGGTTATCGTGACTGCAGTTGTCGCAATTCGTAGGGACTTCGCCACTGCTCACACACTTACCCCACTTAGCACTCCTCACACAATAACCCCCTCAACACTTTGCTCCCTTGACCTCACTACTACCGAAGAGGTCACTAAGATTTTCTCCGAAGTCTGCCTCACCACCTGACCCCTGGACCCTGTCCCCTCACAACTCCTGTGGTCCCCCTTCTCTTTCATCTTATGCTCCCTCACTCACATCTTCAATCTTTCCTTCTCCACCGGTACCTTCCCCTCCCCTCTAAATCACGCGCACATCACTCCCGTACTTAAGAAGCCCTCCCTGGACCCCACCGACCTGAACAACTTAAGACCCATCTGCCTACTGCCATTTACCTCTAAACTCCTAGAACGCTTAGTTTACAATTGCCTGAGCTCCCATCTCACCGACAACAACCTTCTTGACCCTTTGCAGTCCGGCTTCCGCCCCCTACACACCTCCGAAACTGCCCTACTCAAACTCACCAATGACCTACTAACCGCCAAAACCAATGGCCACTATACTATACTCCTACTACTTGACCTCTCTGCGGCTTTTGACATGGTTGACCACCCCCTCCTCCTCAAAAAACTCCACTCTTGGACTCAGAGACTCCGCTCTCTCCTGGTTCTCCTCCTATCTATCACAACGCTCCTTCAGTGTTACCTATAACGCTGCCACCTCCCCTTCACTCCCTCTCTCTGTTGGGGTCCCTCAAGGTTCTGTCCTCGGACCCCTCCTCTTCTACATCTACACCTCCTCCCTTGGCCAATTGATAAACTCCTAGTGCTTCAACTACCATCTCTATGCCAACGACACACAAATCTATCTCTCTACCCTTCACCTCACCCCCTCAGTCTCCAATCGCATCACCAGCCTACTAAGTGACATATCGGACTGGATGTCACTCCACTTCCTCAAACTCAGCCTTTCCAAAACTGAGCTCCTAGTATTCCCCCCAGCCCGTGCCCCCCCCCAGACTTCTCCATCAAGATCAACAACACTACCATCAGTCCCACTCTTCATGCCAAGGTACTAGGTGTAATCCTAGACTCCAATCTGTCCTTTCAGTCCCAGGTCCAATTGTTGACAAACTCATGTAGACTTCAACTCCGCAACATCTCCAAGATACACCGTTCCTAACCTCGGAAACCACTAAGCAACTTATTCACTTCCTTATTATATCACGCCTTGACTACTGTAACTCCCTCCTCACTGGCCTACCTCACCACAGGCTATCCCCACTCCAGTCCATCATGAACGCTGCTGCCAGACTCATTCAGCTTACTAACCGCTCTGTATCTGCCACCCCTCTCTGCCAATCCCTCCACTGGCTTCTAATTGCCCAGTGGATAAAATTCAAAACACTAACACTGACGTTTAAAGCCATTCATAACACTTCCCTAATTACATCACAGATCTTGTCTCTAAATACCACCCAAACCGTACTCTCCACTCCTCGCAAGACCTCGTACTCTCTAGCTCCCTTGTCTCCTCCTCCCATGCTCGACTCCAGGATTTCTCAAGGGCTTCACCCATCCTTTGGAACTCCCTACACCAATCTATCAGACTACTCTGCTCACTTTTAGGCACACTCTGAAAACCAATCTCTTCAGGGAAGCCTACCCCAACCCCAGCTAATTTTGGAATCCTCTACTCCTCCTACCACTCCATCCCCCACAGCTAATTACCTCTTGTACCTCTATCCCCTCCATCCTAGATTGTAAGCTCCAAGAAGCAGGGCCCTCTAATCCCTCTTGTATTGAACTGTATTGTTACTGTACTGTCTCCCTCGTAATGTAAAGCGCCGAGCAAATTGTCGGCGCTATATAAGTCCTGTATAATAATAATAATAATAATAAAGTTGTACATGGTACTAAAGATCAGTACAAAGAATATATTAATAGTAAATGCATCACTCTGGCTTTAGAGACCAGACTATGTCGGATATTCAGAATCGGGCTGTTGGAACCCAGAGGTATGACAACTGGATTATTGACATTCAGAAGAAATGCCGTTTGCTGCAGCTGGAAGATAAAATGGAGGAGAGTCGTCTCTGTAGTGCTCTGTTCACATATACTGAACATTTACGAGTATGTACCTTTTATATATTTACTTTTTTACATTCCTTTTTGCCATGTTTATGGAAAATGCATTGCTGTAGAGCAGGGGTCTCCAATATTTTTAATCAAAGGACCAGTTTGCTGTCCTTCAGGCTTTAAGAGGGCTGAAATGTGGCCAGTGGAAGTAAAAAATGCCCTGGCATTAGTGCCCCATCATTGGTTTTAATGGGAAGAATAATGCCCCATTGCTGGTATCAATGGGAAGAACAGTGCCCTATTGATGGTGTCAGTAGGTGGAATGGTCCCCCATCATTGGTGTCAGTGGGAGGAGCAGTGCCTCAAGGGCCATCTAAAGGCAGAAAAAGGGCCACATCCAGCCCTCGGGCCACAGTTTGAAGACCAATGCTATAGAGCGAACAAAACAACAATCCTATAGCCTTTTTCTAAGTATTGAATTCTGCTACTTCCTCCCAAGTTACAGCCAATCCCTTGCAAATTTGCCCATATGCTTGCTGATCAGGCCTGCTTGAGACCTTTTGAGAGATTTCAGAATCTGAAACATACTGCTAGAACAGGATTACTTGTAATGGTTTTTGTCCATTAGCTAAAACTTTTATTAGTTTTGGAGAGAGCGGGGAAATACTTTATCTGGGTTTTACAGTAACGAAACTGATTTTATCAAGAATAAGGTGAAGTTCAGAACTGCAAATGTTCGTGTCCTCATTCCAGTTATTAATGTTACCAGTTTACTGTAAGTATTTGTGTCAATGAGTTGAGAAAATGAGAAAAATAACTCCTGCTTGAAGACTTGAAGGAGAAAGAACTTTTCAATTTAAAAATTTTATCAAGCCTAAGTTTAGTAAAAGGAAAAAAAAAAATCAGCACAAGGGATATTTCTTACATTCAATGTGATGTGTACCTTGTGCTTGATGGCTCCTGTATTAGTTGAAATTGTCTTCCTGCAACCCCCCCCCCTCTCCTGCCACTGTAATCTTCTGGTGCGGCAGGGGTTAAAGTGGAAGTAAAGCCCACTCTAGAACTTGTACCTACAGTTAAGCCTATAATAAGACTTAACTTGCACTGTTTAGGAGATATTCACATAACATGCAACCGGTGATGTCACTGGTGCGTGTACTCTGAAGGGATAGCATATCGTGCCAAACCTTCAGAGCTCTGTGCCATAGCCGAGGGCTCCCACACACATGCGGGGGAGTGATGTCATCGTGGCCTCGGCCATTCATATGGCCAGAAGCCGCAAACCCGGCACGAAGACTGGATGAAGATAGCAGTGCTGGTGAGCCATGACATCGCTGCGCTTGAGGGCTCTGTGTAAAGGTGAGCCTGTCATAATGTACTAGTATGTGGTGTACATTAGTACACTATGACCTAAACCTGCAAGGGCCCATGCAATCTTGATTGGTGCATATGACAGGTCTTTTACACCAAGGGAAATTTTGAATGCAGGAGCCAACAGCACAGGGGACACGTCAGATTGATAATAATGTCCCTTGTGCTATTTTTTTTTTCGACCAAACTTAGGCTTTAATAAATTGCATATCACCTGAAAGAGATATCCAGCAACATAAAGTATAGGGAAATAAAGTAGCAGTGTTATGGAAAAGATGGTAAAATTCTTTTTAGTAAAATTCGGAAGCATAAATAGGACTTCTAGCATGTAGGAATAAATCCAATGCTTAATAAACTTTGTAATTTGTAATTTTACTTGTATGGTTAATCCCATAATTTTCCTAAAACCCTGTTTTCTTTGCACAGAAATGTAATAATGCACTCATAATTAACGAGGATGCTCGTACCCAAGATGCTCTGGATTATTTGCAGAACTTTTTTGACAATATCAAGAATGGACCATTTACAGACATTGAACAGAAGCTAGTTAAAAAGTTTGAAGGTAAAGATAATACCGACCTGAATTATCATCACTGGGGTGGATACACTACATAGTTCCCTAGCTAGGGGCATATCATGAAATCAATGGGTCTGTGTGCAAGATTAAAAGTGGGCTCTAGGCATCGAGGAAAATAAAAATGCAGCGCTAATTATTGGGCATGGCTTAAAGGGGGGTATGGTTAAATAGCGTCTGAGATGACTTACATAGCGCAGAATATAGATGCAGTGTCGCAGGAGGGGGGCAGCGGGACAGTAGGAAGGCAGTGTTACAGGAGGGGGACAACAAGACAGGAGGGGGGCATCAGGACAGGAGGGGGGCATCAGGACCGGAGAGGGGCAGTGTGACAGGGAGACAGGAGGGGGAAGTGTTACGGGACATCAGGTAATCAGTCAGCAGCGGGTGGTGGAGCTCGTGCAGTCCCAGTTAGGGGGGTAAGCATGGGTCGCGAAGAGGTGCTTATAAGCCAGGGGTATGAGGTCACCACGGGGATGGCGGTGGTCAGGAGTCGATGGGGTTTCATGCTGGTGTTCAGCTCTGACAGCTGCTGCGCTCCTTCTGCCAATCTCCCAGCCTGACTGAGACGTGATATGCCAGAGAGCTGAGCCACCGGAGATATGTCACTTCAATGAATGCGCCCTGAGCCCCCTTTCTCACCTCTGATGCCCGGCTCCCCCGTCCTCCTTCCTGCGGCCTCCTGTCTGACCCCTGCTCTGTCCAGGTGCAAGGCAGGCACTCTACATGTATCACCAGCCATCCGCCTGCGGGCTGGGAACCCTGCTGCTCAAATAAGCACTTTTCATTAGTGATGGAGCGTTACCTTTTCTCTGGGACCAGCCTCCCCCCTGCTCGCTGTGCCTTGACTGGGTGTGCAGGGTGTATGTTACCGCCCCCTCATCTTGGCGCCCTAAGGCATTCTTAGGTGCAGTGTGTGTCAGAGCACAGTGCCCTCCCACCTCAGGGCCCGTGTTCAGTAAACACCTTGCACCCGTGGATGAAACGCATGTGCATAGGGAAAAGCGTATGTGTGGTTTGCTGGAATTAAGCCCAGTGAATACCTAAGGGATGGTGAGAAATGGAGCATTTGTGTATTTACACTGCTATTAATGAATCTGGTTACTTGGTAACTGTGTGTTAATGGAGCGGATGGTGGCATATTATATGGCCTAAACTGGCCAACTAATGGGACATTCATATCCAGATTGTGACCGGCAAGCCTGACTTGTAAATGTAATTGGATTCTCAGGTGTCCTATTATTACTCATTATATATAGTTATGGGACAACCGGTCTTCTACCTGACTCCTATCTCCACTGTATGGGACACTACTGAATGACAATCATCCATCTCTTACATTCCATACATGGATTTTTCCCCCATATGTTTCCAAGTTGCACCTTTAGTCTTTCTCGCCTCCTTCCCCTAAGTGTGTATGTTGGAGGTTGTATGAGCAGCTGCTAAGGTGACGAGACAACGTTGTCTTTTTAGTTTGGTGAAGTTGTGGTGGTGTGCTCAGCTTCTGTGTGTATATTTGTGCAATGCACATTTGTTTTGTTTTTTCTAATAAAAGCCCTTTGATAAATCTGCATGGTCCCACATGAAACTATCTTTGTTCAGGGAACGCTTTTCCCTATGCACATATGTGTCAAGTATGAGTTTTGGTGACCACACCCATTAACTTTTAATTATGTTTTTTTTATAGGTGATTCAGCTATCATATGGTAGCCGATAGTAATGCTGGGTGACTTTGAATTTAATCCCTTCTATATCGGCTGTTCAGGCCCCTGGTTAACCTCTTTTAGTCCTTGTATTTCATGGATGAAACACCACTGGCCCTAGCACACAAGGTCCTGGCTGTCCACCCATCTCTTCCTCACCTTTTTACCAGTATTACAGGGTATAAAACGAGTCCTATAGATTATATATAATAGCAGGTGGTGGCTTATCAGAACTCCTCCAGCTGCAGAAAAGTGTTTGACCAGTACTAAAACAGTGTGTAAAAAAATCAGACTCACTATGATAAGAAAATACCCAAAAGCAGGCAAGATGGGTAGCTGAGCTGCTGTTTTTCTTTCTGCAGGCAGTGCTCAATACAGGTCCTTCAGTAATGGGCATGAACCGTTTTCCCACTTTCTGGTTAACAGCCAATCAGGGGACAAGAGACATTTCACTTCTCATCATTAAAGAGATTTACTGATCTGTGCCCCAGAGGGGATGACAGGTCTGCTTAGAAGGGCTGACAACATGCTGCTCTAGGCATACCTTCTTACCTTATGGCATGTGATTATTTTAGTAATAGTTAATGCTGGATCATGTTATTGGAGGAAGCATCCGGTCTGCTTTATATGTAGGACTATTTTTTAGCTGTACAGACAAACAAGAGAACAGAAAGATGGGTACATTTCTATAAAAAGCCTACTGATTCCTCTGAACATCCGCTTTGACATCATTCCCCTACAATTCTGCAGAGTTAAGTCACAAATGTGATTTTTGCAACAATCAGCAATGAATGTAATTGTTAAGTCTTGAAATAATTCCTAAAAAAGTCTTGCTGGTTAGTTTATAAAACATTGGTTGGATGAATGTGACAAGGATTTGCCCAACCTTAACATATTCTAGCAAAATTCTGCTTTAAGAGGTTATTTCCTACGATCATCAGTTCCATCTAGTGGCCATAATGTAGTGTTTGTTTCCGATTTAGGTATTTCAGAAAAAATACCAAACTATGGACACTAGATGGAGCTGACGATCGTAAGAAATTGCTGTATTAAAGTGTTACTAAACCCACAACAGTGAAATCAGACTGTATATGCAGTAAAGCATGCTTGTTATACTCACTGTAGAACCTAAGGGGTTAATCCTCTGCATTGTGTAAAAATGCTGTTTGATCCTGACTTCTCTGAGTCTCCCCTTCATCCAGTGCTCCCCTTATCTCTTGATAAGATATATTGTGTGGAGACACTCTGCACATGCTCAGTTTGGTGTGTATTGCTAGAGAGGGTTTTTTTTTTCTCTGGAAAGTGCATGTGATCAGCACAGGGCCAATCGGCACTGTCCAAACAGAGGTCAGGGATTTTGCATCCTCCTAGAGCAAAATTAAAACTCTTCCTACAAGCTTTAATCAATGCTTGGCTGGACACTGATAGAAGTCACAAGACTTCTCTAACTGCTGATGAGAAAAGGTATTTAGCAGTTTATATTTACTAAAATAATTGCACTTCCATGTTCTTTGTACTGTGGGAGACCAGATATAGTGAATGCAGGGTCCTGGGTTTAGTAACACTTTAGGCAAAATACAGAAGAATTCATCAAGACTGGGTGAATGCTTGTCACATGTTCAACAACTAAAAAAAAGACCCCAGTGTGTAGTTCTGTTCGAGACACCTCTGTAGAGAAATATGAATGTCTTTTTTTTGCCCTCAAGCCCCTCTCACCCCCAATCTCACATTTCACCTAAACACTGCTGTAGGACAACCAATGCTGAAGTTCGCTAATTCGGATTTAACGGATGTGGTAAATATAGCAAGACTACCTCTATGTTACTTAAAATGTTCTAAGACCATGGTTCTTTTTTTAAAAATGAAACATCCTGTTTGTAGTTAACATGCAGCCGATTAGGATAGCTGAAATATTGCTCTTGATAAAGCTTATAAGCTGACAGTTTTTGTAGCCATTTATTGGTTTTTTTTTTTTACTTTTTTCACAGTTAAGTTGCCACAATTGATGGAAATTGCAAAGGACAATGAAAATCCAAAGCTGGAATTGTTGCAGTTTATCCTGTCTGAATCCTATCATGAAAATCCAGAGACACGCACGCTGCTCTTTGTGAAGACCAGAGCTTTAGTAGAGGTATTTTTTTCTGGAAGAAGTCTTTAGACTTTTACAACTGCCTAAAGCATGTGCGTTGGTATCTCACTTTTTTCTTTTATTTTTGTGAGTGTTGTAAATTTGCTGTTACATATATTCACTGGTCACTTTATTAGGCACACCTTGCTAGTACTGGTGTCAGGGATCGCGGCTCCAGGGTCAGGGATCGCGGCTTCTCTCCCCGCGCATGCGCACTGGCGGCAGATCACGCCGGGACACAGGCACTAGGTCCCGGCGAGCCGCGGCTGACAGGACGCCGCGCACATGCGCAGTAGGAGCCGCGGGCGCGCCTCAGGCGTCCAATGACAGCCGGGGGCGCGTCCTGGCCGGCCAATGACAGTGCAGGGCGCACTATTTAAAGATGCCCTGCACTGTCACAGATTGCCGCAAGGTCTATCTGTGATCCTGAGTTCCTGTATCCATTCTAGTGACCCTGATTGCCCTGACTATGCTGCCTTCTCCTGTGATTTGACCCGGATTGCCCTGACTACTCTGCCTTCTCCTATTCTGACCCCCGGCTTGTCTGACCATTCTGCGGACTGACTTACCCTGCTGATCCTGCGTGTGACCTGACTACTCTTTGCTTACCCCCACGGGACCACGGTCCGTTACCATCCTGCTAGGGCCGCCATCCTCTTCACATCTGGCTCTCCCGGTACCTGCATACGTCCCCGGAGGCTTCCTCTGCCACTGGTGGGCCTGCTCGGAGGTCGTGACCTGGCCCGGGTCTGTTACAAGTCCATCCCCACCATCAGGGGCCCTGGTGAAAGCACAGCCCGGGCTTAGACCCCACGCTCTGGGTAGGTCTGTCAGTTGGCAGCCTGAGGCACCACCTGGTGGATCATAACAACTGGGTTGAACTCCCTTTTGCCTTCAGAACTGCCTTAATTCTTTGAGGCATGGATTCAACAAGGTGTTGGAAACATTCCTCAGAGATTTTGGTCCATGTTGACATGAGCTACTGTTGCCTTTCTATCATCTTGAACCAGTCTGCCCATTCTCCTCTGACCTAAACAAGGCATTTTTATCCACACAACTACTGCTCACTGGATATTTTCTCTTTTTTCGGACCATTCTCGGTAAATCCAAGAGATGGTTGTGCACGAAAATCCCAGTAGATCAGCACTTTTTGAAATACTCACATCAGCCCGTCTGGCACCAATAACCATGCCACATTCAAAGTCACTTAAAAACTCTTCCCCATTCTGATGCTTGGTTTGAACTTCAGCAAATTGTCTTCACCATGTCTAGATGCCTAAATGCATTGAGTTGCTGCTCACGACTCTAGCAGTAGCTTTATAGGTCCACAGTTTGGGGTTTCCCCAGGGCGCGGGGTCTAAGCCCCAGTCTGCTTGTTCACCAGAGCCCCTGATGGTGGGGATGGACTTGGAGCAGGTTGAGACCAGGTCGTGACCCCCAAGTATGCCCAGCTGCGGTAGAGGAGACCGCTAGTGTCACGTACTTTAGTAGTGAGCCTGACGTGAAGAGGCAGAGCAGACCAGAGCAGGATGCGGATGGATCCGTGCGGCAGGTAGCGGAGTCAGGCGGGCTGGGTTCGATATCCGAGAAGGCAGAGCAGACCAGAGCAGCAGGCAGAGGGATAGTCGGGTCAGAGGCCAGGTTCAGCAACAGGAGGTCAGAATGATCAGGAGCAGGCAGAAGAATATCCAGAGACAAGCCAGGGGTCAGGGCAGGAGAGGGTCACGATAGGAGCAGGCTGGGTTCGGCAACAGGAAGCCACTCAGGATCAGGAATCACAGGCAGAGGAATAAGACCATACGGCAATTTGGATCCTGCAGTGGCCCGTTTAAATAGCCCACCCGGCGCCAACAGGCACGCATGGGTCCTAGTGCCTGCTTGTGCCATCATTCGTGACAGGCGCGCCTGGGTCCTAGTGCCCGCCTGCCTGTATGCCTTGTCGGCATCCTGCCCTGCATGCGCAGATTCATGCGCCGCGGCGATCTTATTGTTCCCTGAGTGCTGCCATCTGATTGGCTAATTAGCAATTTGTGATACCAATAAATGGAACAGGTGTACCTAATAAAGTGCCCGGCGAGTGTATATTACTACAGCAGTGCCACAATTATTGTTAGGAGGCACCAAAGACTGTTAGAGGAAGAGGTGCTTCACAGAGTGAAATGTGTGAGATGGCTTACAAATTTGTCTGTAATGTCTGCTATCGTTGCCACAAATAGGTTTGTGCAATGTAAAGTAACCTTTACAGTAGCAACCAATCCAATTTGCATATAATTGTTGCATTTTGCCTTATTATCCTGTAATGATACATATAGAATGTTTTGTGTATGCAGTGTGTTCATAGATTTTTTAAAGGGTACAGAAAATTTCAAGCAAAGTTTCTTTACCCTTTTACCCACAACCCCCAGAGTTGAGCTAGTCCACCTTCCTCCCTGGCCTCTTAGAAGTCTAGGGAATTCAACTGCGCGCATACAGCATTGGTATGAACAGGTTGAACAAAGTATGTAAATGTTGTGTTGGGCCTCAGCTGTAAGAACTTGATAAATATAGAAAAAAAATTTCTTCTTGGGGTGGAGTAGGATTTGCTACTTTTACTATGATTATGATATATTCCTATATTTGTCACTAACAATATAATTTTGACTGATTCTCTTATTTCAAGGCTCTAAAGAAATGGGTTGAGGAAACCCCATCACTCAGCTTTTTAAGACCAGAAACAATATTTGGGAGAAATAAAAGGCGTGATAATATAGGTAAAGAAAATTGCTGTGCCCATAAACCAAAAATCCACCTGTTTATGCCAAGCATTAGGCAACTGAATGTTTAAAAAACTTTACAAATGGCAACATCTGAAATATGTGTACTCTTGGCGTTTAAGCCATCCATCCAGATCATTTTTAAACTGACAGACACAGTTATTAGGCAACCAGACTGAATGCATTTCATGTCTGAAATCTGGAAGGAAATTGAATGTTTCCAGGTTTTGCAGCATACACAGATCCTTTGCCTGCCATACATACGGTATTTGCAGTGGCAGATTATCAGCCTGTACATGATTATCTTTAGTGCTCAAAAAAGCTAGAATCTAAATTAACAGTTTTTATCAACGTAAGAGCCTTGGCTTGGCAAATTTAATTATACTTAAAGTGTAAGTTCAACTTTTCAGAAATAACTTTTGGCCATGTGTGCTCAATTATTTGACCAAAGTGCACTCATAGCCTTTAGCCTCACTCAAATGTCTTGCCCTGCAGAGTCTCTGAATCTCTAAAGACCTTAGAATAGGCAGAGATTTTAGCCCGTTACCATCTGTGACTCATGTTCAGAGTCCCAACAGTATACAGATTCTGTGAAGTTACTGTTTTTGGAGCACTTTTACTATCATCTCAGGCTTAGTGGGGTTTTGTCAGACTTATGTTCTACCTTGCATTTGGAAGAGCAGTCTACTGTTCCAAGCTTTGGGTCTTTTTTGGGTCCCTACAGCTGCACAGACCTTTATGCTTCATGGTTGTTTGATTTTTCCTCTATATGGAATAGAAGCTCCTTGAAGATCCTGTGACCCACCTGTGATGATGGCTGAGATTTTCTCTTTGAGAAGGCATTTGTAAATCAATGGATACATCGGTGGCCTGCCTTAACAGGAAGACCACTAGATTAGATTAGTTGATCGAGTGAGAGGCAGCTAGAATCCCTTCTTCAATCACAGTTTGAAACAGCTGGTCTTATCCTCCATCCCATTTTGGCAGTGACTTTAATTTGTCAGTGTCTCAATTGGTGGGGCTTTCTCAAAAAGTTATTCCTCAACAGCTTGCTTTTCATAGAGAGGATGGAACAAATTTCTGAAACCTTGTTCTTCCATTGTGATGACTTATTACAAGCATCAAAGCTTATGTCTCACATGGGACTGATGTCTGTATGGATGTCTGTTTTGGCGTCCGGAGCGGCCACATAACCGCCAGCTCCGGTACCCCCCCGGTACCCCCCGCCGAATCCGCCGCCATCCGGGCGGTAGAAGGGTCCGGTGCACCCCCGGAGATCCTCCCAACACCCAGAAGGGGCACTGGGCGCTCTGTCCTTCCGGCAGAGTCCCGGCGACTCGCAGCCTACCACGGCCCCTGAAGCCGCGGCCTTTCCTACCGGCTGCGGCGAACTGCGGAGAACCGTCACCGACCAATACGCCCGCACCCCCCGGAGGTCCTCCTAACACCCAGAAGGGGTGCTGGGCGCTCTGTCCCTCTGGCAGAGCCCCAGCGACTTGCGGCCTACTACAGCCCCTGCCGGCCGCGGTGAACTGCGGAGGACCTCGGCCGACCGAGACGCCCACACCAGAAGGGACGCAACCCCGCTCCAGAGGGAACGCCACCACCAACCCTGCCCCATCGGTACCCTCACCAGCCACTCTGGAGGTCTTGCCATCGCCCAGGAGGGGTACTGGACGCCCTGTCCCCTGCGGCTTAAGCTTCCCTACCCCCCAATGCCTGAACCAGGATACCGCCGCCCGCGCCAACGAGACGGGAACCAGCACCGCCTCCCCTACCTACAGCCGCTGCAGAGAAAAGGGAAGCAGCAACCACCCCCACCGGCACGGAGAAGGTAAGCTGCCACTGGCCCCGAGAGGGTAAGCCACCGCTACCACATCTGCTTCCCTGCTCCCCACCGTGTTCCACACAGCCGTGCCCCTGCCACTGCACAGCCCTGAGCCCCGTCCAATCTGGCGGAAGCGAGCCTGCCACACGGCCTCCAGCACCCCCTGACGCCGGGCCATATAACACCTACGATCGCCAGACCCTACCGCTCCCACAGACTCTGGGCCCCTTAGCACCCTCATTCGCTGGCCCGCAGCATCCACACGCACATCCAGTCGCCGAACCACTGTAACCACCGACGACATCGTGCCACAGCACCCTCGGACCACCTCCTGCCGGCCTACAGCATAAGAAGACTGCAACTAGCCAGCTGCTGACCCAGTCGCCCACCACTCTCACTTTCCTCCTACAGATGGACACAGATGAAACTCCGCCATGACATGACAGACTCTCCGCATCATCAACGTCCTGATTGAAACCTCTCACCTCCCCGATCTGACCAGTACTCCGCTCACCCTAAAACATGCCACCCAGTGCACTCCTCCTCCTCGTTTTTTTCCTCTCCTCCATTCCCAAAATCGCCTCCCTCTACCCCCCTACTTCCCCAAAACAGCTCTACATTGCTCCTTCACTCCTTCCTTCTCACCACTACGGCTCTCACCACCTCCTCCTGATACTCCACTCTCCCGCCGACGACTCACACACCACCACTAACAACAGATCCACATGCTCCTGCACATCCCGTTCCCATGCCACCTTCCTCACCCTTCTCCTTCTCCTAACCGCCGGGGACATCTCCCCGAACCCTGGCCCCCCACCTCCCCACTCCCCCTCTCGGCACCCCCCCCCCCCGCTCCCGCCAGACACCGCAACCCCCTCAACCTTATACCCGTCCCCCTCCTCCCTGCATCCACCCCTCCTCTCTCGGTTGTACTCCTGAACGCCCGTTCGGTTTGCAACAAGCGCACCGCCATCCATGACCTCTTTGTCTCCCACTCCCTCAAGCTCCTAGCGGTCACCGAAACCTGGATCCAAGCCACTGACTCCACCTCCCCTGCAGCACTCACCTATGGAGGCCTCGTCTGGACCCACTCACCCAGACCAAGTGGTTGCAGAGGCGGTGGGGTCGGCATGCTCCTGCCACCGCTGAGCACCTTCCAGGTCCTCGCTAAACCCCCTCCCTATCCTTCTCCTCCTTTGAAGCCCACTGCATGCGGCTCTTCTCTCCCACCCCCCTGAGGATTGCAGTAATCTATTGGCCTCCTGGATCCGTATCCCTCTTCCTGGACGACTCTGCCACCTTGGTTCCCTTCTTCCTCTCCTCCGAGCTACCGACCATCATTCTCAGGGATTTCAACATCCCCATCAACATCAACAACCCGGCTACTTCCCAACTCCTACTCCTAACCTCCTCTTTCGCACTCACACAGCACACACAGTCCTCCACCCACACCGATGGGAACACCCTGGACCTCGTTTTCCCTCCCACCTCTGCACCCTCCACAACTTCACTAACACCCCCTTCCCCCTCTCTGACCACCACCTCCTCACATTTTCCATCTCCTCCTCCTCTAACTCCCCCCCCCCCAAAGCGTCAAACCATCACCAGCTGTAACCTCCGCAACCTGAACCCGGCCCATCTCCACCCGGCAGCTGACCGTCTGTACGACAGTATCTTTCCACTGTCATGCCCTGACCTGGCCACTACTGCGTACAAGGACTCACTGCCGGCTGCCCTCGACTCCCTGGCACCCCTAACCACACGTGACATCAGACCCCGACTGCTTCAACCCTGTCAGAACGACCATACAAAATGTCTCAAATGACGCAGTCGCGCGCTGGAGCAATTATGGCGCAAAACCAGATCCCCTCGTGCGTTCTCCCTCTACAAATCTGCCTTCCTCACCTACACCACCTTCCTCCACTCACGCCGCCAAGCAAGCCTATTTCATAACCCTCATCAACACCCTCTCCACCTGTCCTTGCTGGCTCTTCTCCACTTTCAAATCCCTGCTCTCCCCCCCCCCCCCCCCCCCCACCTCCACTCAGTACTTCACTCACCGCGCACGAGATTGCCAATCATTTCCAAAACAAGATTGACGCAATCCGTAAGGACATTGTCAATTCACAATCTACCTCTCCTCCTAGCCCCCCTCCCTCCATCACCCCCCCCTCAACTCTCCCCTCCTCTGACCTCGTAACTGCACTGCCCCCCACCATACCTAGCGCCCCGCACACTATCACCTCCCCAACGCTCCGCTCCTTCAGCCCTGCTACCACTGAGGAGGTCACTAAGGTCTTCACTGAAGCCCGCCTCACCACTTGCCCCCTGGACCCTATCCCCTCACAACTCCTCCAGTCACCCCCCTGCTCCATCATTCGCTCCCTCACCCACATCTTCAATCTCTCCCTCTCTACTGGCACATTCCCCTCCCCCCTAAAGCACGCACACATCACCCCCATACTCAAAAAACCCTCCCTTGACCCCACTGACCTAAACAACCTTAGACCCATCTGCCTGCTACCATTCACTTCCAAGATCCTTGAGCGCTTAGCCTACAATCGCCTAAGCACCCACCTCACTGATAACAACCTCCTTGATCCACTACAGTCTGGTTTCCGTCCCCTACACTCCACCGAAACCGCCCTACTTAAAATCACTAACGACCTGCTAACCGCCAAAGCTAATGGCCACTACTCAGTCCTCCTGCTCCTCGACCTCTCCGCAGCCTTTGACACAGTCGACCACCCCCTCCTCCTTACCAAACTGCACTCCTTTGGCATCAGTGATGTTCCTCTCTCCTGGTTCTCCTCCTACCTATCCCAACGCTCCTTCAGCTTCACCTATAACGCTGCCACCTCCCCCTCTCTCCCCCTCTCTGTTGGAGTCCCCCAAGGCTCTGTCCTCGGACCCCTCCTTTTCTCCATCTACACCTCCTCCCTTGGCAAACTGATACACTCCCACGGCTTCAACTATCACCTCTATGCCGACGACACACAAATTTATCTCTCCACCCCTCACCTCATCCCCTTTCTCTCTGCCCGCATCACCCACCTCCTGAACGACATATCAGACTAGATGTCGGTCCATTTCCTCAAGTTAAGTTTGTCCAAAATCGAGCTCCTGGTTTTTTTCCCTTTTTCTCCTGGTTTCCCCCAGCCCGCGCCCCCCCCCCCCATTCTCTCCATCACGACTAGCAACGCCACCATCAATCCCACCCCACACGCCAAAGTCCTGGGTGTCACCCTGGACTCAAACCTTTCCTTCCAACCTCATGTCTAATCACTATCAAAATCATGCAGGCTCCACCTCCGCAACATCTCCAAGATACGTACATTCCTCACCCCAGACACTACTAAACAACTCGTACACTCCCTCATCATCTCACGCCTGGACTACTGCAACTCCCTTCTCACTGGCCTACCCAAAAAAACGCTATCCCCACTCCAGTCTATCCTGAACTCAGCGGCTAGACTCATCCATCTCACCAACCGCTCCACATCTGCCACCCCCCCCTCTGCCAATCCCTTCACTGGCTCCCGATTGCCCAGCGTATCAAATTCAGATTACTAACTCTGACCTACAAAGCCATTCACAATGCCGCCCCAAACTGCCTAACTGACCTGATACCCAAATACCACCCTACCTGTGCCCTCGCTCCTCACAGGACCTCCTACTCTCTAGCTCCCTGGTCTCCTCCTCCCACGCCCGACTCCAGGACTTCTCCAGGACTTCTTCCATCCTCTGGAACTCCCTACCCCAATCCATCAGACTGTCACCTACCCTCCTCACCTTCAGGCGCACCCTGAAAACCCATCTCTTCAGGGAAGCCTACCCCACCCTCACCTAACAACCGATCTCCTCCACTCCTCCCACCACTCCATCCCCCACAGCCACTTCCTCCTGTACCACTATCCCCTCCCTCCTAGATTGTAAGCTCGAAAGAGCAGGGCCCTCGAACCCCTTGTGTATTGTATTGTTACTGTATTGTCTCATGTTCTGTCCTCCTCGCTATTGTACAGTGCTGAGCAAACCCTTTGGCGCTATATAAATACTGTATAAAAATAATAATAATAATTCACAGAGCATTTTGACTGTGTGGATGGGATGTTGATGCTATTGTACATTCAAGAAGACCCTGACTATCTTAGCCTTCATAGGACATTGTATATTTAACCTTAACAAGAATGCCATGGGTGGCCAAAGTGTGCACGAATGCACACTTTGCACGAAGGGATATGAGGAAATGTACACAGAAGCACACTTTGGCCTCACACACTTTGTCTCATATCTGCTTTGGCTGTAGGTTCTCACAGGCCTTCAGAGTCTGATTCTTGATCAGCCTGCAGGGCTTGTAGTTTAACTCCTTTCAAGTTCCTTCTACATGAAGCCACCCCCACTTATATAAGAGTAAAGGAGTTGTTCTCTATCTTCACTCCCTTCTAGAAAAACATTCTCAGCATTTGGGTTATGTACAATCACTCATGGTGCATGGTAGCCCTCAGCAGTTGTCTTCCCTAGAGGGACTTCCTGACCTACAAGGCTGAGTTTGCCAGCTTTGCCTGTCCCTTGCCAAACCTATGATCTGGCATCTCATTGGCCTTCAGAGACACCTATTACTTCCCACAGCATTGAGCCTTTGACTCAAGCTAATACCTTGGTGCCCTCATTGTGGTATGATTAAACAACCTTCTGTGAAGAGCTTTTTGGACTTTTAAAATCAGCAGACCCTTAAACTTGGACCGTTAAATTTCCTATGAAGAGACTAACACATGTAAGGAACTCAGGAATGAGCAAATAAGTCATTCTTTATTGAGAAGAGGAGATTAAAAGGGAATATGACCTCCATGTATAATTACATTCATGGTCCATATAGAGAACTTGGTGCAGAGTTAAGTGAGTTATTAATTTTAGGCACATTACAAAAGAACAGGAGGGCAGTCTTTACGTCTGGAGTAAAAGAGGTTTAATCCTCACAAACAGAAATGCTTTTTCACAGTAAGATCTGAAAATGTGGAATAGACTTCCAAAGAAACTAGTTCTGGCCATCTCTGGCACTTAAAGTGCTTGTAAACCTCTGACATATGAACAAAACATGTCCCTCTATAGTGTGTACTTGTCTCAATTCAGAAAATTAAGTGTCATTTCTATCTGCTGTCTCAATCCTGTGCTATCTGCATGAGTCACTTCTGGCAAGTTTTCCTGATACCAAAAAATAAAAAGGTGTCAGGGGAGGGAGCTCCAGCACAGAGCCTGTTAACAGACTACGCTCTGTTCCTGTGTGCTGTGTGAAGTGGGGTATGCCCCTTCCCTCCAATCAGCTCTCAGCTCTCCTCAGTAAGCTCTGCAGAGTATAGCTTCAGCTCTTCACTCCCTGCCTTCTGAAGCTAAGACACACTGTATAAATTCTGGACTTTGAACAGCTGTAGAGAAGAAGAAAATTGCAGATAAACAGGCACAACTTATGCAGGAGGATTAGTTTCATCTCTGTGTATCACCTGATGTCACTTCACTGGGTATATGTAAGGGTTTACAACCACTGCAAACATGATATGGATTTTAATCTGCCCCACTTTATCCAAAATATATATACTTTAGGAAGGCATGATTTGCAGCACTACTCTTCCATGACAGTGAAAAAAGAGTATAAGGTGCAGAGAAAAAAAAGAGCAAGACATAGTTATAAAGACACAACTTGAAACAAAGTAAAAAGTGTGTGGTATATAAATGTTGTTGGTAGCAACCTAACTTTTTTCCATAGCTTTCTTCTACAATTCTCCTATTCCCACTAGATAGACAGGAAAGTACCAATGCTGGTTACTTTAGACAGCCTTGGTTTTATGCTAGGATGAAGGGAGAAACAGAACAGGGCAGATCATGTTTCAAAATGCATCCTAACCTTTAAAACAGAAACGTTTCATACCCAAGTCAGTACAAAGAACAGTGTGTAATAATCGTTGTTAACCAGATTTCAGTGGGGTGCAGTTTTGAAAGGTCAGTCTGGCTGACTGGTTAATATGGGTACTGAATTTTGCCTTATTAGGTAGGTCTGTATAATTGTTGCAGAGTGACAGCTCCACTTTAATAAATGATATATCAATTATGATGTTTTTATACCTTTCATTTCAGGAATGACCCTTCCAAACCAGAAAGTAGCTCTGGAAACATTTAAAAACTCAGCAGAGAGCAAATTGTTAATAGCTACTTCCGTCGCTGATGAGGGCATAGACATCCCGGCATGTAATCTGGTTCTTCTCTATGAATATGTTGGCAATGTTACCAAGATGATCCAAGTCAGAGGTACAGCTGTTAAATAAACAGAACGACACAGCCTAACTTTAGTACACCTAGAGTTCATAATGAGGCAGAAAATTGAAATTCAGTGTAGCTGGTCTGTAAGGTTTCCCTTTTATGAACCCCCGGCGATCTACTGTTTAAACAGTGCCACTAAGCAGCTCCCAGAACCTGGTCTCCCCCTGCTCTCTGTGATTCTCTCAGCTGTCTCATACACACTGCATGATATATACTGCTCAACAAAGTTAAAGGAATAATTTTTAATCAGAGTATAGCATAGTCAGTTAAACTCCTGAGATATTGATCTGGTCAGTTAAGTAGCAGAGGGGGTTGTTAATCAGTTGCAGCTGCTTTGGTGTTAATGAAATTAACAACAGGTGCACTAGCAGGGGAACAATGAGATGACCCCCAAAACAGGAATGGTCTTACAGGCAGAGGCCACTGACATTTTTTCCCCTACTTATTTTTTTTCTGGCTGTTTTTCACTAGTTTTGTATTTGGCTAGGGTCAGTGTCACTCCGGTAGCATGAGGCGATACCTGTACCCTACAGAGGTTGCACAGGCAGTCAAACTCCTGCAATATGGCACATCAATACGTGCCATTGCCAGAAGGTTTGCTGTGTCTCCCAGCACAGTCTCAAGAGCATGGAGGAGATTCCAGGAGACAAGCAGTTTCTATAGGAGAGCTGGACAGGGCCATTGAAGGTCCTTAACCCATCAGCAGGACCGGTATCTGCTCCTTTGTGAGAGGAGGAACAGGATAAGCACTGCTAGAGCCCTACAAAATGACCTCAAGCAGGCCACTGGTGTGAATGTCTCTGAATCAAGAAACAGAGTTAATGAGGGTGGCGAGAGGACCTGACATTCTCTAGTGGTGCCTGTGCTCACAGCCCGTGCACCATAAAGCTCAATTGGCATTTGCCATTGACCATCAGAATTGGCAGGTCCACCACTAGCGCCCTGTGCTTTTCACAGATGAGAGCAGGTTCACTCTGAGCACATGTGAGAGATGTGAAAGGGTCTGAAAAGCCATGGAGAACGTTATGCTGCCTGTAACATCATTCAGCATGATCGTTTTGGTGGTGGGTCAGTGATGGTCTGGGAAGACATATCCATGAAGGGAGACACAGACCTCTACAGGCTAGACAATGGTACCCTGACTGTCATTAGGTATTGGGATGAAATCCTTGGACCCATTGTCAGACCCTAAGCTGGTGCAGTGGGTCTTGGGTTCCTTCTAGTGCACAACAATGCCCTGCCTCATGTGGTGAGTGTATGCAGGCAGTTCCTGGAGGATGAAGGAATTGATACCATTGAATGTCCCCCACACTCGCCTGACCTAAATCCAATAGAACACCTCTGGGATATCATGTTTTGGTCCATCCGATGCCGCCAGGTTGCACCTCAGATTGTCCAGGAGCTCAGTGACGCCCTGGTCCAGATCTGGGAGGAAATACCCCAGGACACCATCCGTTGTCTCATTAGGAGCATGCCACGACATTATCAGGCATGCATACAAGCATGTGGGGGCCATTCAAACTACTGAGTACCATTCTGAGTTGCTGCAATGAAATTTCAGCAAAATGGACTAGCCTGCTGCATAATCTTTTCACTTTGATTTTTGGGGTGTCTTTGAATTCAATCCTTTGTATGTTGATAATTTCCATTTCCATCAAACGATGGGGCATCTTTATGTTTCTAACACATTACCCAGTGCATATCAGTAAACATATCCAGCATGATATTTTTCCCCGTTGAGATCTGATGTGTTTTCAAACTGTTCCTTTAATTTTTTTGAGCAGTGTAGTAGTGCAGTGGGGGGACCAGGCATCCAGCACACCTGGAAGCAAGTCATTGTGAGAAAAAGATTCCAGGAACCATTTGCAGAACAGGTAAGTATAAAATCATCTTTAGCAGTTTTTTTTTTCTTTGCTAATTGCATCAAAGTTATAGATGGCAAAATAAAGAGTAGAAAAAAAAAAAAATAAAAAGATGTGGCAATCTACAGACAGCTACAGCTAACTTCCCAGCTAATTTAGCTGGTAAGAAATCTAGAACATACAAGATATGCCCTGGTTAAAAAAAAGATATAATGATAACTCTACACTGTATATCTACACTGAGAACCCAAAACGCTGTTAGTGTTATATTCATAAAAATAGAGAAATAAAAACCATATAAACAGCACACAGCGCCACATCCTTATAGTTTCACTGAAACTAAGGAAGTGGGATATTTGGAACCCACGAATCGCACATGACATAACTAGTGTGATCCCCTGCTACTGTCTACTAGAATCTTGCAGTCATCTGATGTGACTGCAACAAAGAATGTATATATTTTCAGAGTAGGGTGGAAAAGCTAATGTTATACTGCTAAACAAATGTTTTTTAATGTCATTACATTGTGGATCTGTAAATAGGCCATGCATGGCACTAATGTGTTGTACTTTTAATATTTTGTGAATACATTTGTATAATTTTAATAGCTGTCTATACTGTTTTATGTATTTTTTGTCAGGAAGCTATAAAGCCCTTATTCTTTTGTTCACAGTGCCACTAAAACTGTCAAAGTGATAATCCAAAGTTTCAATGTCCCTCTTTATACATAAAGTGAAAAATGCACTAATTACAATCAAATATCCAATGTTTTAACAAAAGTACAGTATTGCTCAATTGCTGTTGTCCATAGCAGCCCTAGGAAACAACTCTGCACTGCGTATCTAAACCTAAAACATAAACTAAAAGCTAACTTGTACTATATCTTTAGGAATACATAGCTCTTCCCTTGAAGTGGGGCCCCACTACATTGAAATGGTAAAATGCTTGTTATGACTAGGGGGTAGAGAAATAGGCTGTTTTGCTCACCCTGACTCCCTGCTCCAGCAGGCACTTCTTTTTCTCCTCAAAGCTCTGGTCTGTGGGAGGTCCTTCAGCCTCTTCATGTATAGTACAGGGCTGTTAAGACTGCATTGCATGTAGAGAAGTGCAACCACAGCTGGGAGTGCCTTAGAGATGAGGCTTCAAGGACCGGTTGCATGGCTGGAGGGACCCTGCTGGAGTGAGGAATAAAGTAAGTATTTCACCTTGACATAACAAGCATTCAACCCTTGTAAGCTCAGGAAGGGCAGGGGGCAATGGTATTTTTTTTTGTTCTGCCTGTAATTGTTCTTTAAATAGTTTGGTTTTATCAATTTAATATTGTCTCCTATGAGGCTCATTTGTGGCCATGCTGGGTTTTCATTCTCCAATATTTTACAGCAATACCTGTAATCCTTAAGTCTGTCTCCCATGCTTTCTTACTTTATTTATCTTTGTTTACTAGTCCTCTTTGCTTTCTTTTTACCTCTTGTTATTTCTCATGCTGTAAATTGCTCATTTATAATAGAGTAGTGACAGGATTGGCTTCTACCTATCTTTCCATGCAGTAAAGGATGCCAAGAGTTTGGGGCAATATTTCACATATTTTGTGATTTGAACTAGCATATTCATTTTTATATCGCACAGGTCGAGGAAGAGCCAAGGACAGCAAGTGCTACCTTGTAACCAGCAAGCATGAGCAAGTTGAGAGAGAAAAGATTAACTTGCTGCATGAGTCTTTAATGAATAAGGCAGTTGTTGATCTCCAGGAGAAGGACAGAGCTGAATTTATAAGACAGGTAACACTTGCAGTACTATTAATATTGTAGTAAATCTGAAAAGTGTTATATTTCATGTCTAATTAGTATATATGTGCAGTATATAATGCTAAGTATAGTATGTAGAGGTACCTAGAGTATAAGCTCGAAAGAGCAGGGCCCTCGAACCTCTCGTATATTGTTTTGTTACTGTATTGTCTCATGTACTGTCCCCCACTATATTGTACAGCGCTGAGCAAACTATTTGGCGCTATATAAACACTGTATAATAATAATAATACTGTATATGTTGTGACTTTTTTTAATATGCAAACCTATATTGGTGTCAAATATAACATATAAGCCACATCCTAAGAAAAGCATCAAAGAACGCACTTCTCACCTAAAACATGGCTACCTTTGTTTAACCTTTATATATGGAATGATTCAGGCTTGGTAGTGCAGTGAGGTACAAGGGTGGACATATTTTCTGAGCTACTGCAGAAAAGAGAGCTCATCAACACCCTTGAATTTGGACAGGGACCCAAGTGGGGATGGACAGTTCCCTCTAATTATTAAATGCTTAAAGACAGACATAGAAATCATGTAGATGATCAAGTTGGAGTTGTGAGGGGGAAAATTGGCATAAATATGTTGGTGGGTAGAGTCAAGATAAAAGACATGTGTATGCAAAGTTAGATCACTTGTTTTAAATAGTAGTATAGTTTATTACAGGTACTTATACGCAGTGTTTTACATATATATTGTACATTCACATCAGTCCCTGCCCTCCAGGGGCTGACAATCTAAGGTCCCTAACTAACATTCATAGAAACACATTCCAGGGCCAATTTAGACAGGAGCCAATTAACCTGCTAGCATGTCTTTGTGGGAGGAAACCAGAGTACCTGAAGGACAGGGAGAACATGCAAACTCCATGCTAGTGCTGCTGGGCAGATATGCTAACAACTTAGTCACTATGCTGCCTCTAGATTTTGGAATGACATTATGAGAACTTGCTTCTTTTGCTATTGGCGCAGGTAATGTAAGTAGTCTTCAGAGTGGATTTGTTTAGGAGTTAGGTTGGTTTAGTGTTAAAGTTTTATTAGGAGTGAAATTTAGGGAAAACTTGATTTTCAGTTCTGAAACTGCCAGCACAGGACTCTCAGAGCTAAGAACATATTAAACACAAGTCTTCAGCACACTGCCAGGACAAGATCATCCAGTGCCAAGGACAAAGATGCCAACTGCACCCTCTTGATTTATTATGCATGATTCAGTGTCTTTTTCAAGACAAAATAATAGCAAAGGGATCTATATCCCCAATTCTGTACCCCACGTTATAATAAAAGTAGATATACTATAAGGAGAAATGCTTAGTCAGAAATGAAAAACATGGGCACAGAGAGGAGAAAAAATGGCAGCACCAATAGTGAGAATATTGTGCATTTGCACATTGTAATCATTGCCTACATTGCATATATACATTAAATTGTTCATTGGGCGCACCCCAAAGAGGCATGGTTAAATGGAACTTAAATGGGCTTTTTTGCTGTGTACCCTGCACCCACAAAATATGCCCTATTTACTTAATGCACTTTTGGAGGCAGTAACTTGTCTGCCTAGTTTGGGGTGTTAACATTGAACCATACAGTCCACCAATCAAGAGGCGAAGCAGAAAGATGACACCTGCTTGCTAGTGGGCCATAAAGGGTCATTTTTCTCATCATGCTCTGCACTCTTTCCCCTTCAGTTCTGCAAACAACTGAAACTACCCACATTTATCAAAAAATTGCTGCAGTGTAAAATAATTAAAAATCAAAGTAAATGCTAAAACACACTCAGGTTAGATCTGCTTTCATTTAATTGTAAAGTGAGTTGAATAGCAAGTGCTGACCTGTGCAGGGAGCATGTTTTGAGCTTATGTGGGATGCAGTGGCCCTTTTCATATAACCAGGAGTTACAAAGGATACATTGTTGGGTCACATGGAGAACACCAATTAACTCTACATCGACCCTCAGCAGGTTGCCTGCTTTGACTTGTGACGTGACAGCACTGCTTCAATCAGCATCTCAGCAGTTCCCATTTCTGTATTGGAGGTAAAGAGTACAGTTTCTGTATCCTTGCAGTCTGCAGATTCTTTGAGAAGCTTGGCAATCTCAAATGATAATACAGCACCTCATCGCTGTAAACAGAGCCAGCAGAGGAGATCTTCCACTATTCACCTACTCTGCCAGGATCTGCATTAGATAACGGGCTCTGGACAATTTTAGGGGGCTGCTGCTTTGTAGGTGCTGGGAGTGTAAGTGGAGCAAAGTCCTCGAGTGGTTGAATCCCATGCTATAACAACAACAGACATAACATTATTATTTTTTAATTATTATTATATATGATTTATATACTGCCAACAGTTTGTGCAGCACTTTACAATGTAAAGGGAGACAAAATAGCAACAATACAATTCAATACAAGAGGGTTAGGAGGGTTCTGCTCCTGGGAGCTTACAATCTAAAATTGAGGGGCTGATGGAACACAAGGTAATAACTGAGGGAGAACTGATGGGAGAGATAGATGATTCGGTTATTAGCTGAAGGCAGCATAGGCTTCCCTGAACATATGAGTTTTCAGGGATTGCCTAAAAGTGGACAGAGTAGGAGATAGCTAGATAGATTGGGGTAGGATGGGAGCGGTTCTGCAGAAGTCCTGGAGATGAGCGTGGGAGGAGGAGACAAGTGAGCTAGAGAGCAGGTGGAGTGGAGAGGACAGTTTGGGTGATATTTTGAGAATTGGTGATGTAGCTTGGGGTAGAGTTGTAAATGGCTTTGCATGTTATTGTTAATGTTTAGAATTTTATTTGTTGGGCAATGGGAAAGTCAGTGGAGAGATTGGAAGAGAGAGATGGTGGACACTGAATGGTTGGTAAGGTGTTTGAGTCTGCCAGCAGCATTCATGGTAGACTGAAGAGGGGATAGCTTACAAAGAGGTAGACCAATGAGGAGGGAGTTACAGTAGCCAAGGCGAGAGATTACAAGTGAGTGAATAACAAGATTTGGTCAGTGATCGAATTTTGGGCTGAAAGAACAGATGGGAGTCTAGGATTACACCTAGTACCCTGGTATGAGGGGAGGGACTGATGGTTGTATTATTGAAACTATTGATCTTGATGCTGAAGTCAGGGGAGGGGGCACGAACTAGAGTGAATATTATGAGCTCAGTTTTAAAAGGATTGAGATGGAGGAAGTGGTGTAACATCCATGCTGGTATGTCAGTTAGTAATTTAGTAATGTGAGAGGAGACCGAAGGAGTGAGGTGAGTAGTAGAGAGATGAGAAATATAAAATAAGATAAATAGAAACCATTCCCAGAGTCCCAGTAGTCAAATGAACGCAGAAGCTTGCTTATGTTGCTGATCAATAACTGTAAAAATTAGGTTTATATTTGGTGTCAGTGGGTGTAAAATTTAAACCATTTGAAAAGAATTAGCAGTGACACATTGAAGAGATTGAAAAGAAAATAAAGTGTACCACATGGGCTGCCTGCTGCCCACAATAAAGGGAGTGCTTGTGGGTGAGGTTGGAAAAAGTGGCCGTGGTCTAAAGTGTAGTTTCACAGTGTATGGGTGCAAGAGATTGTGACAACAACATTTTACCTCAGCATCGGTGTCAGTACTAGTAATGTTAACTCTCAACATGTGTTAGGGCAAGCAGTAACCCCCAGCAGGTGACAATGCCAGCAATAACGCCCAGCAGGGGACAAGACTTGCAATAACAATGCACAGCAAAAACCCCAGTAAGTGTTAGGGCCAGCAATAACACCCAGCAAGTGATAGGGATAGCAATGCTATTCCCTGGCAATAACTCCCCGCATTTGTCTGAACCAGTTTCCCACAACATAAAAAAACCCCACAATAACAAACCTTGCAGCGCAATAATAACCCACAGCACAATAATACAATATGCTCTAGCACAACAGTAACCCCAGCACAATAATAACCATTGCAGCACAATAATAAACTCCAGCACAGTAGTAACCCACACCACAATAATAAACCCAGCACAAAAGTAACCCCCACCACAATAGCAACCCTAGCACAAACATGCACCACAATAATAAACCTAGCACAATAATAACCCCTAGCACAGTTGTAATCCCGGTACAATAATAACCCTTGCAGCACAATAACCCACACCACAATAATAAACCCAGCACAAAAGTAACCCTCACCACATAAATAATACGCACTAGAATAATAAACCCAGCACAATAATAACCCCTAGCACAGTTGTAACCCCTGTACAATAATAACCCTTCAGCACCATAATAACTTTAGCTCCATAATATTATCAAATTCCAGAAGTAACCGCAAGGTATCAAGGGACACTGTGGAGTTGTAGAAGAAAAATGTGATGTGCTTTACACATCGCCTGTCAGACACATAGGGGTGTTGCTAAAAAGTGTTGCTTTATAGCTGAAGCACCCCCCTGGAGCCACCCTGTTAGATAAGGTCATTTATTAGAAGCAAGTAGTGAAAAACCTCCTCTGCCAGCTCAGTGTACAGCAGTACAGGGTGATGGGGTCCTCTGTGCACTCACTGCACACACTGGGGAATGCGATTCAATTTGCAGCTGCAGATACTCTTCACTTGTGGCTGAAAGAAGATCCATGACACATATGCCAGCACTGTCCCTGCCCTCTGAAGCATTTGGTGTTTACTGAGGAATCCAGTGCCCTGAATGGGAAAAATGGAAGGTTTACTTAAAGGCTTTCTCTTGTGCAGAAAAAGCCCATCTGTGAGTGATTGCTACACAGAAAGCACAGACATGGTTGGAGATCATCTGTCTTATTTTCCCTTGTGCTTCCACTGTTAGTGTAAAAACAGGGCATGTCATTACATACACAAAACACAGGGAATAAATTCAGATAACAGATCAGTGTGTACCTCCTGCTTCTTTTTAGAGGGCTTTTCTAGCTTGGCTCAGACACAGTACCAGTTTTACCACTTTTTTTTTTTAATTTCATTTTTACCTTTTTATTCACAGAACCTTCAGTTTCAAAGAGAAGAGAAGAGGCTTCGTGATTTTAAAAAGAATTTTACAGGACGTGTACTATCAGAGGAGAACAAACGTCTGCTTTGTGGAAGATGTAAAACCTTTGCGTGTGATACAGATTACATTAGACTTATAAATGTATGTAGAAAAGTCTCACACCGTATTTATTATACAAGCATTTTAATACAGATATGTTAGTTGAGTAGAATTTACATAATTAAAGCCCAACTGCAGCTTCAGCCACCTGCAAGTGGAATGGATCAGCTGGTCCAGACAGTGCTCGGAAACGCTCTGCAATACATGCTGTACACAAAGTGGGGGAAATTTATCTAAACTGGAGCAGCTGGACATGTCAACCAATCAGCTTCTATCTTTTATTTTCAAAGATTAATGAAACAAGCTGGATAGAAGCTGATTGGTTGCCATGCCCAGCTGCTCCATATTCAATCTGCTCTAGTTTTGGTAAATTCACCACAATATACAGTATATTGCCAAAAGTATTGGGACTCCTGCTTTCCACGCACATGAACTTTAATGGCATCCCAGTCTTAGTCCATAGAGTTCAATATTGAATTGGCCCCACCCCTTTGCAGCTGTAAGAGCTTCAACTCTTCTGGGAAGGCTGTCCACAAAGTTTAGGAGTGTGTCTATGGGAATGTTTGACCATTCTTCCAGAACTGCATTTGTGAGGTCAGGCACTGATGTCGGACGAGAAGGCCTGGCTCACAGTCTCTATTCTAATTCATCCCAAAGGTGTTCTGTCAGGTTGAGGTTAGGTCTCTGTACAGGCCAGTCAAGTAACTCCACCCCAAACTCACTCATCCATGTGTTTATGGACCTTGCTTTGTGCACTGTTGCGTAGTCATGTTGGAACAGGAAGTGGCCATCCCCAAACTGTTCCCACAAAGTTGGGTCATGAAATCGACCAAAAATGTCTTGGTATGCTAATGCCTTAAGAGTTCCCTTCACTGGAACTAAGGGGCCAAGCCCAACCCCTGAAAAACAACCCCACACCATAGCCCCCCTCCACCAAAATTTACACTTGGCACAGTGCAGTCAGACAAGTATCGTTCTCCTGGCAAAACCCAGACACGTCCATCGGATTTCCACACAGAGAAGCATGATTCGTCACTCCAGAGAGTACATCTCCACTCCTCTAGAGTCCAATGGCGGTGTGCTTTACACCACTGCATCCAACGCTTTGCATTGTACTTGGTGATGTAAGGCTTGGAAGCAGCTACTCAACCACGGAAACCCATTCTATGAAGCACTCTGCACTGGTGTTGGGTTAGTCTGAAGGCCACATGAAGTTTGGAGGTCTTTAGCTACTGACTCTTCAGACAGGTGGTGACTTCTGCACACTGTGCACTTCAGCATGTGCTGAACCCGCTCTAGTTGCTTGCACTTTGTTTTAATACCACTAACAGTTGACCATGGATTATTTAGTAGCAAGGAAATTTCACAGACAGACTTATTACACAGGTGGCAACCTATCATGGTACCACGCCTTAATTTTACTGACCTCTTGAGAGCGACCCATTCTTTCACAAATGTTTGTAGAAGCAGTCTGCATGCCTAGGTGCTTGATTTTATACACCTGTGGCCATGGAGGTGATTGGAACACCTGAATCCAATGATTTCGAGGGCTGTACCAATACTTTTGGCAATATAGTGTATATGGGAAAGGGGCTGTAAAGCCTGCCCACACAGAAATATGTGTATAGACTCATGAAAATACAAGTTCTGACTGGATAACTATGTTGTATTTGAGTATCTACCTGGGGGATGTAAAAAATAAACATATACTGTTGTAGGGAAATGTCAGCACACCGAAAGTGTAAAAAATTATGCATTTTTCCTTTCACATTGATGCAAAAAAATTTAGAGGTTTATTTACTAAGGCTGAAGAGTGCAAAATCAGGCTCACTTCTGCATAGGAACCAATCATCTTCCAGGTTTTATTGCCAAAGATTAAAGCAGAGCTCCAGTAGTTATTGTAAAAATTAAAAGGCAGCAGCTACAAAAACTTTAGCACTTGACTTTTAATAAACAGACACGTACCTGTCCCCAGATCCAGTGGTGTGCATACCCAATGGGACTTCGGGGACCGTCTTCGGTCCCCTGTGTCAGCATCTTAACTGTGGGCACCTGGTTGTGACAGTTTGCAGCTTGTGCTGCATTTGCGCAAACCGTGCTGCACATTGTGATTGGTCTCACAGTCTTCTGGGACCTGTGCTGTGTCCCAAACGACTGCAGGGAAGGGAAAAAAGTGAACTTCTGCTCGGATCACCTAGGCAATGGGAGCAGGTGCCTGTCAAAACTAGGTACCCGCTCCCCACCATCCAAAAAGATTGCCAAACATGAAAGAGGAGAAGGGGGAGAGGCCTTAAAGCGAAACGTCGCCTTTTAGGTTGAGTTCTGCTTTAGTTGAGCAAGCTGAGGTTAGAAGCTGATTGGCTACCATGCACAGCTGCACCAGATTCTGAGTGCTTTGAAAGGTCAGTATTTGCTTCAGTTTTGAGAAGCTTGCTACTTATTGTATGTTTCAGCTGGGCACATAATTAGTTACAAATGAGACACTGGAACTGCTTCAGTGGAGGAGCATTATTTTTAATATTTTAGTGTACAGCCATTTCAAAACAATGTAATCTACTGTACCTCTGCAGCTGTGCTCCAAACCTTAGAACGTAGACCTATGAGGTATGTGTGCAGGGATGGCTTTGCTTGTAACTTGTCGTTAAAGCCATGTACCTGTGTGTATGCGTATTGCAGGATCCCTTTAATTGTCTCCTACTGTATATGATCAAGTTCTCAACTGTTTAGAATGTCCGGATTCACCCATACACGCACATTGGGGTTTATTTACTAAAGCTGGAGAGAGCAAAATCAGGCTCATATCTGCGCAGAAACCAATCAGCTTCCAGGTTTATTGCCAAAGCTTAATTAACCACTTGCCTACCGGGCACATATACCCCCTTCCTTACCAGGCCAATTTTCAGTTTTCAGCACTTTTTGAATGACAATTGCGTGGTCATGCAACATTGTACCCATATGAAATTGTTGTCATTTTTTTCTCACAAATAGAGCTTTCTTTTGGTGGTATTTACTTGCTGCTGGTGGTTTTATTTTTTGCACTATAAGCAAAAAAAAAACAGCAAAAAATTTGAAAAAAAAGGTTTCTTTGTTTCTATTATAAAATTTTGCAAACAGGTAATTTTTCTTATTCACTGACATGCGTTGATGAGGCTGCACTGATAGGCAGCACTGATGGGCACTGATAGGCAGCACTAATTCGGTGGCACGGATTGGCGGCACTGATAGGTGGCACTGATGATGGGTACTGAGCGTCAGCACTGATAGGCGGCACTGACTGACAGCACTGCTGGGCACTGACTGGTGCCACTGCTGGGCTGCACTGATGGGCACAGGTGGGTGGCACTGATAGGCAAAGGTGGGTGGCAGAAATGGGCACAGGTGGGTGGCACTGGTGGGCGGCACTGCTGGGCACCGATCATCAGGGCACTGATCATTAATGCCCTGATGATCGGTGCTGATCCCTGCTCTGAAAACTGTCGGTTCTCGGCAGTACTTTCCCCACGTTCTGACAGCGTGAGGAAAGTGCAGCCGAGAACTGGGAATTGCATTTCCCTGTGATCAGCGTGTTATTGGACACGGCTGATCACGTGGTAAAAAGCCGCTGTGATTGGCCTTTTACCACATCACATGATCAGCTGTGTCCGTAGGACACAGCGATCACGGAGATCGCCGGTTGTGTGCCCCGGGGGGGGGGGGGGCGCGCGCAGGAGAGCGCGTTCTGGGAGGACATCATATGACGTCCTCCCAGAACTGGCCGGCCGCAGTGTAGCTGTCATTCGGCTATCTGCGGTCGGCAACTGGTTAACCAAACTGAGGTAAGAAGCTGATTGGTTTCTATGCAGAAGTGAGCCTGATTTTGCACTGTTCAGCTTTAGTAAATTAACCCCATTGTGCATATCCATGATGAATTGTGTTCACTGAATTCTAATATTTCAGAATAGCTGCCAGCACTGTGACTATGAAAGCAATACATAATATATAAAACATTTATGATCCTGTTCATAGTAGTGCAAAGTGCAGTAATTAAAAAACAAATCACTCTCTACTTTCTGATGTCAGATTATTCACTTTGCACACTGCCTGATGATAATAATTTGCATGCCAATGGAAAAGAACCCTAACCCTGCATATACCACCCAGTTTACAAAATATATTTGTTCACTAATTGCTCTCTTTGCTTAACAGAAATCCCATCACACGGTAATTGACAAAAGCTTCAAGGACAGGTATTTCACTAAGGAACACTCAAAGGCAAAGTCATTTGATGGCTTCCAAAAAAAGTACAAGATATTCTGCAATAATCGCAAATGTGGAGACGACTGGGGTGTTGCTGGCAACTACCTGAGCTTCCAGAACATTCCACTTATCAAAATTGACAAGTTTGTGGTAGAAAATGCTAACGGATCACGGGAATATTTTAACAAGTGGGTGAAGGTGAATTTTAAAATGAAGGAATTCAACCAAGAAGAAATAGAGGAGTCCTTCTCTACCAACACAGAATAAGACAGTCGGTACTTGTAATTGGGACTTTTTTTTACATGACTTTGACAGTTACTTAAGGCAGAAAAACTCAAAAAAAATGTGATCTTTTGTTAAGAAAATATGATGTTCATAATGAGATTAAATCATAAATATAAAGTAATCATCATTTTAACTAAAGAGATATTCTGTTAACTGTCAACAGACACAAAAGGTCAGAAGACTTTGTGCACCTCTGTAACTATTCTTTTTAATGCTAAGTATGCTAAGAGGTTCCTGATTACTACATGATATACTTTAGGAATTAAAAGAGACATATACAGATCTCTGCAGCTGGTTGTGTTTGGTCTAGAGCACTTCTTTTTAAGGTGCTGTGAAGGAAGACAGATGTGTGATTTTTTTTTGTTTACTTCAATATGTTCACTGCTGATAATTGTGGTGAGATAATAGTTGAGTTTTTAATGATGCACTGGCAATATTTATCTGTACAACAGTTGGTAAAAGAACTACAGTATGTCATGGAATGAAAAAAATATCCATTTATTGCCAGGATTATTTTGGTTCCTGAAAAGCAATATCTCATCTAAGGGCAGCCACAGAGTGTTCTTAAAGACAGCTATGACATTTATCCATTTTTTAAAGCCAAAGTTTAATCTACTTATATTTTGCTTTCTCTGGTTCTACCTTTTCCTCCAGCCATGGATACATTTGTTGGTACCCTGCTGTGTAAAAAAGAACCCCCCGCAATGTTATCTGAAATAACTTAAACTGACAAATAGTAGTTGGCATCCATCATTGCTTATTCCATATTTAATAAAAATCAGATGATCAAATTATTAATTATTATTTGATCAAAATAAAAAAATAAAACAAATGAAAATGGCATGGCTAAAAATAATGGGTCATTTAACCTAATCTTTTGTTGTACAACCATTGGAATCAATCCCTGCAAACAAGCGATTTCTGTAGCTCTCAAAGAAACTTCTGCAACTTCAAACAGGTAGTTTGGCCCACTCTTCTGGAGCTAACTGCTCCAGGTTTGAAATGTGTCTTCTCCAAACTGCATGTTTAACTGGGTACTAGAAGGGAAAGTAGGATTTAATAGTATGTATAATGTATCTATTATTCAGTGTGTACTTTTCTGTCTCTAATAAGGATTATGACATATTGCTCTATTTAAATAAATACCTACCTATTAACTTAGTTTTTGAACTTCATTTCACAAATAACTTTATTACAGAAAACATGTTAGGGTTTTAATGTAAATTAGAATTCCACTACAAGTAATGGCAATTTCACAAGGGGCATGGCTGGTGAGACAAGCGCCTGCACCTTTCAGAGATTCTCCCCATACCAATGCAACATGTGTGTTACAGGTCCACCGTAGGAGATCCCCTGGCTCACACTGCTCCCCTGCCATGGTCACAATGAGCCAGACAACTCCCAAAAGTGCAGGTGAAAAAACTGGCCGGAAAGTAGCCCTAGGTCTTTTCTTGTAAAGAGCCTAAACTTCAGGGATCAAGATGTTATCCTGAGCAAGACTTGGACCCTGAGGGCATAAAACAGCATTGCCATTGCACTTTTCCCAGATTTTTTAGCCTCTTTCTAAAAACAAAGGGCAGGGCTTCAGAATGTTAAAAATAGACTTAGATGTAAAAATATTGCCTACAGCATGTTCTACCCGCTAAAGTTAGTAGTTTGCAGTGGAAAAACACTTTTTTCTATGGAAGTCAGCACCTGGCTGGACAAATATAGTTGGGAGCAGCATGTGCCCCCTTACAGACGACCCCTGTCATATCTATAACCCTGCAAGCTTTACTCATGACCACTTGTGGCATCTGGCTCAGTGCTACTGTCTGCTGTCTAAACTCCATGGGGCTATTGACATTGTTCTTCCATCCTATTCTGCAGATCTCTGTCTCTATGATTTCTCTTACCCTATATGATTTGTCTGTAGCTTCTTCTACAGGGACATTACAAACATCTTTGTAAGAAATCCTAGGACTCACCATTATCCCCTTCATGGAGCCATGCAGGTACTTATTGGAGATAAACAAACTTGTTTCCTCTTTGCCATTCCCTCACTGTGGCCAGTATTCTATATTGACAACATTAATGGAGGTGGCAGACACCCTTTTGAATTTCACCTTTTTTTTTCTATGAACCTTAAATTCTATGGTAATTTCTTGACACAGTGTGATCTATTTTGAAGCATCTGCCTTCATACAATAGTGGGACTTTACTGTCTGTGCCCTTGCCTAAAGCTGCCTGATTCACTCTTTTGCCCTTGTTCCCAACCTGCAGCCCTTTGATATGCAATGGGGTTGATTTACTAAAACTGGAGAATGCAAAAGCTGGTGCAGCTCTGCATAAAAACCAATCAGCTTCCAGGTTTTTTTTTTCAAAAGCTTAATTGAACAAGCTGAAGTTAGAAGCTGATTGGCTAACTGGTAGAGCTGCACCAGATTTTGCACTCTCCAGTTTTAGTAAATCAACCCCAATGTGCAACCTTTGGACCTCAGCAGTTTGCAGTGGGAGCATTGACTGGGGTAATAGCACTGATTTCTACGAGCCTCGTGTAACATATGGGAGGTTATTTAATAAAACAGCTTGGTGCACAATCTGGTGCAGCTTTTCATAGAAACTAATCAGCTTCCAGGTTTTATTGCCAAAGCTTAATTGAACAAACTAAAGTTAGAAGCTGATTGGCTATGATGCACAGCTACACCAGATTCTGAGTGCTCCAGTTTTAGTACATCTTGCCCATTGTCTTTTGAAGCATATCCCCAGTAAAAATGTAGCATGTCGCTCTCTGTTCCTCATTTCCTGTACTAGGTCTGCAAATTCTGACAGTCCTTTTAAGCATTACATATATTGAACATTAAATGCGGCCCCTGACATCACCAGATGGTTGCACATGAGTCCCCATTTAGCTCATAAGTTGACCCATTAAACCGCATTAACCCTCCATTTGGCTGCTTTATTCACTTTTTTCTTGTTTAATCAACATTTTACCTGCAGACCTTATCTGGATAACTGCTACTCTCTAAACGGTTTGTGGAGATGAGTTACTCTCTAAACGTGGACGTGGACACATTTTGGTTTTGTTTACAATGTTTGTTCTCTGCCATATTGAAGAAAGTGCTGTGAGCGAATTTTTGCATCACCGTCACCTTTGGACCTGAACCACAATAACTGTAGGCCATAACTACATCTACTCCCTGCAAACATTGGGATTCGGGTGGATACTTCTCTAAACCCCAATTACAATTAATACAGTTTTAACCTGGAAATTCCCAGGATAAGAGATAAGAGCACTGTACCACATTAAAAGGATCAAACCATGTAAAATAATCCTTTGTGAGACCAATTTGGTTGGTTCAAGGGTGTTTGCTTTCTGAAGACCGTTAATATGTGCCTTTCACACAATTTAATCTTTATCTAAAGGTGTTTCAATCTTGATTTCAAAAACATTGCATGTGCAGGTGAAGACAGATCCTTGTGGCTGCCATGTCATTTTGGTATTTCATTATTTCAGACAATACTTTACCATTGGTAATATATATCCCTCCTCTCTTTGATGTCCAAGTTAGATACGTATATGTACAAATTAATTGCTAAGGGTCCAATTATTTTAGTGGGCAACATAGATACAGGGTTGGATCCTCACCTGGATCGATTTGCGTGTATATGAGTTTATCCATGAACCTTACTTGATTGGTCTAAGGAATATATCCCAGTAGATATTTGGCTTTGAAAATGCACTGAATGCAGGGAGTACTTGTGCCAATCTAACTTTTCTAATACATTGTCCAGATTTGATATGATTTTTGTCACACCTGAGTTACTTTCCAGGGTCTCTCGAGTAATCTACTTGCCCAAAGCGATTTCAGATGCTGGAACACACATAGCATAACAGACTTTGGAGACTGAGCCCCTAATGGTTAAAGGATAAGTTCACCTTTTAACAAAAGATAATAAATTAAAATTTTTTGCAGGTAAAAAATGTAGTTATTATTTTTTGTTTCTTGAGCCTCTAAAGAATTGCATCAGTGATCAGCAGATTAATGGTGCCATGCAGGTCTCCTGCAGACCTGTCAGTGTATCTGTACATCTTGCACGGGCAGGCAGATACTTACTGACAGGAAGAGTCAGTGTACTATCACAGCACTCCACAGTGCTGTGATAGTTCATTGAGAACTACAAGCCGACAGCCACAAAGACTTGTAGTATTATCATTCACAGAATACTGTGAATGGGTGACATGGCTGGGCGTGTGGCACCTCGCATGGCTTTTTTTTTTTTTTTAAATTGTGACAGGTAGTGGGGAGGAGAAGATTCCCCTGCTAGCTGTCACAACAGGGAGAGCAGAGAGGATCGGGGGCTGGTTTGTTCCTAACATGTTACACCCCTGAATAACTTATCCTTTAAGCAACCTGTTGGTAGAATATAGATGTACATACAAAATATATAACTTTTGGAGAGAAATTAGGAATTAAACTTCAGAAGAAACGCTGTGAATCCTAAGGTCTGGGGTCTCAATTCACAAAGAATTATTTTCCTCTTAAAATCTGTGATAAAAATAAACTCATAGCTTTTTTCAAATACTAAAAATAAAGCATGAGCTGTTTCATCAAAATGTGAGGTATATTACTCATGAAACCATGTGGTATTCTATCTCATGATGTGATATCCAGTGGGATGGATACAGTGGAGAAGGATTAGAACCCCTGTCTGTTTTTATTGCTCATAAAGAGGAAATTTTGTTTAAATCGTAGAAATACTGTATGCCAACTCACTAAGTCAGTGCAGTCCCTGCAGCAGCTGTATTAATACAAAAAAAAAAAGGTGACTAGAATACCAGTCAAAGGAAAGCTGCTTTAACCCCACTGGCGGTATTCCCAAGTGTAGCTAACTCGGGATTACCCTGCAGTGTTGCTCAGGGATTCCCTCTTGCACTTACCTTGTCCTTCACTCCAGCAATGTCCCCCCTGCAGCGTCCCCGGGCATCTCCGGCCGATGCC